GAAACAACTCAAATGCCCATCAACGGATAAATGGAATTTTCCTTCCAATGGAATGTTATTTGACCATAAAAACGAATGAAGTAATGTCACATACTACAACAAAGGTGAACTTTGCAATCATTTTGAAATGAAAGAATTTAGTCACAAAAAAGTATGTGTTATTTGATTCCCATTACATGAAATGTTCTAAATAGGCAAATACATACATACAGAAAGTAGACTGGTGGTTGCTTAGGATTTGGGGATGAGGAAATAAATAAGGCAGGGATCCCTCAAGGGGAGGTAATGAAAATGTTCTCAAGTTGCCCCTGGTGATGGTTACACATAATTGTGAATGTACGAAAAACCACTTTAAACAAGTAGATTTGTGGCATGTGAATTATCTCTCCATGAAACTATTTAAAGAGAAACTGCTGATGCTACAACTGACAAGGTTACCATGGTTCTGTTTCTTAAAGACTGAAAAGCAGTAGCTGCATGGTACAGTGAAAAGAATATGGGTTTGGAACCAGTGACCTTGGGCAAGTTATTTAGCTTTTTTGAACTCCAATTCCTTGTCTGTAAACTGAGGGAAACCCCCTTTCAGTAAATTATTACAATGTGTAGAAAGACTCCAGTCCCTCTAGTTCTGAAATTGATTTTGAAGTTTGAGGTTTGAGTGAAGAGGTAGTGGTGAGAGGTGTCTGTAGACACACAGATTCCTCTGCATTGAAGTCACACCCAGGACTCACTCCATGAGGAGTCCTTCTCCCTGTATGTGCCAAATAAGAGGACAGGTAGAGCTTAGAAAACAAAAGGGGGACTTGTGTGAACTCTAGAGACAACACGGCTGACTTTGGGAACTGCTGAGAGCTAACCATGGGAAAGGCCTATAGGAGAGCTAAGAAAGGCCAGAATCCTGTGACAATTAAAATATGGCTCTTTTTCAAAGTACTAGGATGGTTATATAATTCTCATTTATTTTTTCCCAAATATGAAGCATTTGCCAAAAAAGTGCAGATGCGTTACTGAAAACAAGTGAGGAACAGAAAGAGGTATAAAAAGGCTTAACAAGGTAAAAAATGAGGCAATAAAAAAAAATCAAACATCTTGATACTAGGAAATAGTACTAATATAGTAACCATGGTATAAGTCCAGTTGATCCTCATTATGCCATAGATCCCATACTTAAGAACTCAACCACTCACTAAAATTCGTGTGTAATTCCCAAATCACTACTCATGGTGCTCATGCAGCCATTCATGGTTGTGAGCAAAGCAGAGAAAGATTTAGCTACCCAATGAGCATGTTCCTAGCTGAGGTAGACAGATGTCTTCCTTCTTGTTTCAGCTCTCACATTATAAACAAGTGCACATGTCTATTTAGTGCCACATTCTCTGTACCATTTTGCTTTTTATTGATTTCACTGGATAAAATGGCCCTGAAAGGTAGTGTTGATGGACCATCTAATGTTCCTAAGCACAAGAATTTTGCAACATGACTTAACACAGAAAGTGTGTGTTCTAGATAATCTTCCTGCAGGCATGAATAACAGTGCTGTTGGCTATGAGTTCCATGTTAATGAATCAACAATATACTTAAAGTGTCTTTAAACAGAAGCACACAAAGGTGATATACTGCTTAGGTAACAAAAATGTTTGACCAGAAGCTCACAGGAACCTAATATTACATTTCCTTTAGGAGTGGTAAATTCAGAATTTGCTATTCAGTGTTTGGAGTGTCTTTATATCTATAGAAAATAACAAGAATCAACTGTATATGCTGTGTACTTTTCATATATTATCTCATTTTAATGCTTATAAAGTAGTAGTCTGTATTTGTCTTACAGACAAAGGTAGATTAGATGATTATAAAATATGCCAGATTACATGATTTACAGCTGACATGTGGGAGTAGCAGGATTTGAATCTAGATCTGTCTAGATCCCAGAGGGGAAGCGAACTCTAGCTTTTAAACTAGAGTGCCAGTCCTTAGGAAAAGGTAGCCAGTTCTATATCAGGGTTGCTAGAAGGGCACAGGAGAATTAGGTTTAGTTAAGAACAGTGTAAATCTGAGAAAAGAGGAGGAAAGAACTTAACATAATCATCCAGATGTAGTCTGCACTGGTCAGATTACAGCTAACACAATGGTAGAAGAGATGATTACAATTGGAACAGAAGCCAGGCCCCATGATGGGGAAGTCTGGAAGACAACACATCAGGAGAAGAACAATGGAATAGGAATTGTTCAACATGGAGGAAAACAGAAGGAATCATTAAATACCTAAAGAGCTATCTTATGAATGAAGAAATAGATTAAAAGCAGAGCTAAGATTGGAAATTGAAAGCTACAGGGGCAGATATTGGAATATCAACAAAAAGAATATTTTCTGATAGTCAAGAGTTCTCCTACAAGCCAACACTGGAAAGTGATGGTCCATAGGCCACACCCAGTTGCAGACACATTTTATTAGCTCAGGATTTTTGTTTTCATTTTTAATTTAAATGTTCTTCTGTGGGGCATGTGCTCATTTCCATAGCCTGCATCATTCCCTGTGCTTTTCGACCATGTAACTCATGTGTAACTTGCCTTGCTCTTATGTTAGGGTGGCCAGATGTAGGAAGTACAGGATAGATACATTTGAATTCCAGCAAATGATAATTTCTAAGGATGTCCCATGCACAATTTAGGATAAACTTATACTATATTTATAACATAATACTTAGATCTTATGAATACTGTTCTGGCTTAATCTGGCAACTCTACCCCGAGGCTTTAAATGGGAGCCCTTGATATTGTATTTTGAGGAAGTGGGCCCCACATTTGGGAATTATTTAGAGACTTGTCTCAGAGGATGCTTATGATGGAAATAAAGCTAAAATGTTAAGTTTGCTTTGGCCCTATTTTCTTGAGATTCCCTCATTTCAGAGCAACAAAACAATAAGGCAGATGAAGTTAACACAGAAAAATAATGTAGATGCTGTCTGAGTATTTTGTCAGGTGGGAAGCCAGTCTTTTGCTCTAACAACAGAATGTTCTACAAAAAGAGCCGGGATTAATAGAGAAGGACATAAAAATATTTTTGACCTCTAATATAAATTGCTAGTAAAATTCCTTGTAAATTCATTGGTATGTCAGGAGCTGGAGAAAATGATGGCAATCTTTTTCTAAATCAGGGAATACAACATCCCAAAATGATAATTGCTTTTGTCAAAAGCCATCTTCTATTTTTCCAAGACTGTGGTTAGTCATCCTGACACTTGTTTTCCTGTCCTGCTGCCAGAACTACTTTTCTGGTTGTTTTGAACAGACTGTGATGGGTTCCAAAAGAACATGGCAACAGTTGCTATCAGAGAAGAGACTGACACTAATTCACTGTTCCCACAGCCTCAATTTCCTTGAGTGACAGGATGTCTGAGATCACTTCCAAAAATTGCACCTCTAAAAATGTTAGTAATCTTAGGTCAGCAGCTAGTTTTTCAGTGTCCTTTCTGGTCCCCAAAGAATTCAAATGTGTATGAAGGGCCTGGAGAGAGCATTTGGGTTGACTGTCATTTTAGAGATGGAGGAGGAAAGGTAGGTTCATGGTATGGTGACAAGGTCCAGAGCTGACAACTGCAGTCAGCTCTTTGCAGCTCAGCAAATGGTTTCCCATTCTTTCTTTCTCCTCAGTTTATCACGACTCCTTCCCTTACTTTCACCCACTCTTCTCAAAGTCCCTCACTTGAAACAAACAAAATGTCAAAAAGCAGGAGAAGACAAAGAAAAAAATGAGTTTAAAAATTCTTATTTGTCCTTTTTGGGAAAAGATCCTAGAAGTCATGGACTTTGTCAACTCTCTTTCAAAGACAGGTGCATTGAGCATATCCCCAGGTTCTCTCAAAATACTCCTAGTGATGCTGTTTTCTTCATCATTCTTCTCTTCAGCAGGAATAAATAAAACTACAGGGGTTACTCAAAGCAAGCAAAATTTGTTAAAGCTCCATTTTAACTATTATAGAATTGGGAAAAATTGTTTAATATGCCTCCCTTTCCCCCAGAAAATCTGAACTTATGAGAAGTAACTGAAACTGGACTCTGAATCTTAAACATGGGACGTTTGGTGACTTATGGCTTCACTATTTTCAAGTAATACCCTGTTTTCACTGATTGTTTCAATAAGCATTTGTGTCTATTGGACCTTTAGAGGGACTGTTTTTCTACCTTTTAAATTTTACAGGGACTTATACTTATACTATGCACACAGATATTCCGTCAATAAGTGTGAATGAATGAACTAGAAATAAAAAGGATAATGGTTGTGGAAGCATACATATCTTGGACAAAAATCCTAGCTCTTCTATTCACCAGCTGGTGAATGTGGGGAAATTTTTGACTTCTCTAAGTCTCGGTTTCCTTATTTGTAAAATACAGATAAGCCACTTCTCTTATAGGGTGGGTTGTAAGGAAAAAATGGGATAATGTAGTTACTATTGTGCTTTTTGATTAACGCAAAAAAAAAAAAAACAGGAAAAAGTCACAGAATTAGCCAGGCACAGTGGCTCATGCCTATAATCCAGCTATTCAGGAGGCAGAGATTAGGAAGATGGTGGTTCAAAGGCCACCCTGGATAAAAAGTTAGTGAGACCTCATCTCAACCAACAAAGCTAGGCATGGTGGCACATGCCTGTCATTCCAGTTCTGTAGGAGGCTTAAATAGGAGAATTAAGGCCCACGCCAGTCCGGGCAAAACCACAAGACCCTATTCCCAAAATAATTAAAGCAAAAAGGGCAAGGGGCATGGCTCAAGTGGTAGAATGCTTGCCTAGCAAGTGCAAGACCCTGAATTTAAAACTCCAGGATAGCCAACCCCTCCGCCAAAACCAAGGAATAGCAATATGGTTTTCTAGTGCAGTCTCATTTTTATTTGGCATAAAGATTTAGATTGGTAATCTGATAGATGAGTTGTTTTGTGAAACTGCCCGGTAAGGTGGACACTACATTGCTGGTTCCTACAGGAGAGACATTATGGTCAGCAGCAGGATGCATGCCAATTATTTTATTTATGGTGTCTATTTGGACTACAAAGGCCATCCAGCACTAAGTTAGGAAGAAATCTGTGGCCCCATTCATGTCATTACTCCGTAATGCGGCGGAACGACTGAACAGCAGGGGAAGCTGCACCCCAATCGATGGGCTTCCGGTACTCCTTCTTGTCCAGGAGGTACTGTCTGCCACGGAAGTTGGGTAGCTCATAGAAAATCCAGACACCCTCCAACACCTTACAGGAGTGGATCTCTCGCATGTGAAATTGCTCCAGGATGGAAGGACAATCTTCAGTGGTTTCATACATCTGACCATTAAAATCCCCTTTCTCAAAGATCTGAATCTTGTATTGGCCTCCACTAGACTGAAAAAACACAGAAGAAAATAAACAGCTACCATTATGAAAGTCACCATGAGGTAAAGAAATCAAAGAAAGCATGGTCCAGAACCTGTCATCTAAGTAAGGTTATGAGGACACCCATCCCCACTCAGAAATGACTGAAACAACTTTTAATCAAAAAAAATTTTTTTCTAAATACTCAAGAGGAAAAGTGTCATGAATAGTTAGTGTATTTAGTCTTGCAATGAATGAACTGACCTAGATTTTATTCAAGCTTCATCAATGAAAGCCAGCTACCCATGAAGAGATAGGAAGATTTCAAGGAAATTAAAAGGAGAAGAAATTATGTGTGAGCCCTTGGACTCACCAGATGAACAGCTCTGCAGGAGCCCAGGCGGTCATTGAGGCCCATCCATCTCTGGTATTCAGGGTACTCCCCCTGAGGTAAGATGTACAAGTGCCCAGCAAAGTTGGGCCTTTCGTACACAGCCCATGTGCCTCCTTCCACTCTAATGGAGTTGCAGCGACTTAGGTAGGAGTGGAAATCTGCACAGTCGCAATCACAGTCATAGTGGCGGCCCTGAAAATTTTTATCTTCATAGAAAGTAATCTGAAGTACAGAGAATATAAGCACAAGAATTAAGGAGCAGGGTGACTTTATTTACAGGTGAAAGTTAAAAACACAGTGTACACTTTAAAAATTCCTTTCTCTTCAGTTTTGAAGAGAAAATATGTAGTCTGTTTCACCTCACACTTGGTTTCTGGAAGACAACTTTAGTTGGCAACAATAGGAATGAGTACTTTCTGAAGGCTTAAAATGAAGCAAAACAGAAGAGTGCTTTAATATAAGCCAGTAGTTTCAGACTCAAGTTCACTGCTTCCTTTATGTTCCCACAGCCTTCTGTACTTACCATATCATATTATAATCTACCCTTTATGTCTATTCCTCCCACTAGACTCCTACTAAATTTCTTCCAAGGGTAAGGACCAAGCCTTCTTCAAACTGTGGATCCAGCACTTGACAAATTCTCAATAAATGTGTGATGAAAATGAGCCCTGGGAAACCAGAAACATTTAAATCTGAGCCCTAGAGCTATGGTGCCACAGTTAACCCTACTAACTTAGTCCAGTCACCTCTCTGGGCTTCAACTTCCTGTGTGTCAAACGATACAGCTTGGGTAGACTGGCTGTAAAACTTAACTGCTTTTCTGGCTGAAATAGGAATGAGTTCCTAGGAACTCCTAGGGATTCATGAAGTAGTTTCTGAAAATTACTATGAAAGTCACAAATGGGCTGGAGTTTTTTCCTTTTTGCTCAATAATTCCACAATCTAAGATCAAGGCTAAGTTATAACTGAAACCACAGGGTCATGCCTGCTATGGCCAACTACCCGACAGTCTGCCGCCACCATGTGGCTCATTTACTTTACTGATTCAAAAGGGGAAAAGCATGTGAGTCATTTTAGGCAGGCAGTCTTGAGTCTTTGAGCAAAGGAATGAAGGATAAGTAGATATGTTCCAGAAGCAAAGGAAAAGTGACAAGGCTGTTCAAAAGAATGAGGGAAAGAGCACGGCCCGTTATAAGAAAATAGGTAGTTCACAAAATCTAATGCACATTGAGTAAGTGAAGTGTTTGGGGGGGGGGGGATAAAAAGCCAGAGAACCATACTAGAATCCTCTCAGACTTTATGTGGGAGCTGTATATTAGTGATTTGTGCTTAGAAACAGATGGTTGCTATGAACCAGGTGAGAGAATATGATGATCAACCAAAGACAAGTGAAATGAGAAAACAATCAAAAGAAATTTAGGATTTGGTGACTAATTAAATTCAGATAATGAAGGAGAGGAAGAAAATGACTTGTAAAAGGTGTAACATCTTACTGTCTTTCACCCTGGATGATTCTTCCTAGATAGTAATATTCAGTAGACTACTGGTATCTGCCAGTGTTTGGTTCCAAAGAGACTGCTGCTGAGGAAAACCCCGTGAAAACATAGAGTTCAGTGTTGCATTGCAGATACACTTTAATTAATTTTTCACTTTAATTAAGCAGACTCAATTTTACCTTGCTTTGTGGGTACCATTTGCTTTTCAGAAGTCATACTTTCACGAAATTAAGGGCAGGAAACACTCAGCAGACTACACAACTGATGATAATACAGGACTCACTGAGAGCTTTTCCACATCAACTGAGTGGCATAATGCATGCATGGGAATTAAATTTGTTTCTGAAACTTGGTTTTTAAAAACTTATTTTTTAACCATGCTTGGTCAAAACCACATGTAATCAATCCATGAGTAAGGTGGGCTCACTGTATTAATAACTATTTTCTCCTACCCCAGTCATTTCCTTTTCTTACCCTTCCCACTTAACTATTTCCTGTGCCCTAAAAGCCTTTTTCCTTCCTACCTACTAGAAAAATCATCTATTTCATCTCCTTTCTCCTGTCCTCAAATTTTTCTGTTCTTTTCTCCATTTTAGCATAGCATAGATTTAGAGAGATACAGGGTACCTGTTTATGGATGAAAAACCCAAAAATTCCAGCACACTACTTTCTAGCTACATGACCTTGGACTGGGCACATCCTTTATTTAAAAGACTTCATTTGCAGGATGAGTTAAATGTCCTGCGAAGGGGAGGATATTCTGAAGGTCCAATAGGACAATAAGTACTTAGTTTAATACTTTGTGTAGGTGTGGTACTGGGGTTTGAACTCAGGGCTTGTGCTTAATGTTCTACCACTTGAGCCACTCCTGTCTTTTTTGATTTTTATTGTTTTTCAGATAGGGTCTCCTATTTTCACCTCAGGTAGGGCTCAGACCTCAATCATACTATCTTCACCCCTTATGTAGCTGGGATTACAACCACGTATCACCACGCAGGGCTAGTTTAATACTTGACTCCTAATTTCCAATAAGCTTTTGCTACAGTTGTTACAGGAGTGACCTGCTTAAGGTGGCTAGTTAGTTGTAAATTAGTTGTAGCAAGCCAGTGGACTGCAATGTAAAACTCCTGCTAAGTGAAGTAGTTCGTTTGATTTTCTTTCACTGTTTTCCTACCTGCACAGCTAGCTGTTCAACATAGCAACATTTAAAGCCTATGAGGTGTTACCTATGACTCATGAAGAGATTTAGGAAAATCAAGGAGCTTCTCTAAGAATGGGTATGTTCTAAACTCCAGAATTCATATGCTCAATTTGCCTTTGAGTTTTGATCACTCACCAAAAACAGAGGCTTTGCAAGAGGTATCCGTGGAAAGTGAGGTTAGTATCTATTTTTTCTTGCTTCTCACCCTTAACTGCCCTGTCTGCACATTTGCCTGACTTATACCCATATCTCAGAAGTAAAAGTATACATGATGTTCTATAAAGTCACCATCCTCTTTTCCCTCCCAGTGGAACAAAGTATTCATTGTTTCTTGTCATGGAATTATTACCGAGCTCCAGGCCTAAGCTCCCATTTCAGTGGAAGCCAGAGAATGCTACACCCAATATTCTCAATTTCTATTTGTAAAAGAAACATGAAATCTACTCACTCTGTTGCTATTGGAGAGATTTTGACCCTGGGGTAACACATTTTGTAGCAAAGGACAAGAAATGTGCAGGCCTTCCAAGAAATTACTAAAGTTTTCAATTTTATTTTTTGAAAAATAGCCTACCAATCCAATACAGCAGAAGGAAAATGTCTTGAGCCCCAAAGGTACCAAAAAACATGCTTAATAAAATCTGTTCTTTTTGCCAAGTCCATACTTCTGATTAAATTGCTAGAAAAAGTGGGAAAGGAAGAAGCAATGATAAAGAATAAGAAAGTTTTATTATCTCTTTCAGCCTAGCAAGCAAAAGTTATTTAATAAATGAACTCAACTATGAGATTTAAAAATAGACTACACTATCACTACTATGGAAATCTTTGAGGGGGGATATGTTTTCATTTAAGTAAGATAGTAAGGTAATAGCCTTCCCTTAAGGCACAAGAAAATCCCTCTAAGGAACTTAAATTATTTTTAGTGGGATATTTTCATGGCACATATTCAACTTTAAAGACTTTCCCCCCCTCCAGAAAAACTTCTGGATAATTACTAATTGTTCGGCAAATTGGAAAAAAAAAATCAGGTACTAACCAATCATGGAATAAGTTAATAGGTGCTTCCTGACACAATGCACTGGAAGTATACAATATTGCCTCTGTAGCTTTCTTGCTACAGATGTGTAATCTGAATGTAAACTTGAAGAAATAATCAAATAACTCTAGATGCAGGTCTTTCTTTAAAACACCTGGCCTGAGCTGGGCGCCAGTGCCTCATGTCTATAATCCTAGCTACCTGGGAGGCTGAGATCAGGAAGATCAAGGTTCAAAGGCAAGTCTGGGCAAACAGTTCATGAGCCCTATCTCCAAAAAAATGGGCACAATGGACTGGTATGGCTCAAGTGGTAGAGCACCTGTGCAAATGCAAGGTTCTGAGTTCAAACCCCAGTTCCACCAAAAAACAAAGCAAAACAAAAAAACAAGATGCCTAGACAGACTTGAACTTTGAAAAATGTTGATGTGTTAAAAAGCAAAAATGCAGAGGAGCTATTTTAAAGAGGGGAAAAAAAGGCCCAAAACAAGTGAGAGACAAATGCAATACATGAACTTTGAATCCCATATTATGGACATTTGTGGGGCAACCAGGGAAAATCTGAATATGGTCTGAATTAGGTACTGTACTTACAATGAATCTTAGGGACACAATAGATATGATGTTTATACTGGGAATGACTTTGTTTTTAGGAGATATATGCCTAAGTACCTAATGCAAAACCTGCTATTTATTTTTAAATGGTTTAATAAAGAGAGAAAAAGAGAGATCAAACATGGGAAATGTTAAAAATTAGAGAATACAAGTGAGTACATACAAATATTCACTGAATATTTCTTTCTTATTCCTTCAGGATTCAGTAAGTTTGAAAAATTTTAAAACAAAAAGCTTAGAAGAAAACCAGGTACCAGACAATGGCTTTGCCTTAGATTCACTGGCTACTGAAAGAAAAGAGAAGCTCTTCTTTCCCAGAGCCCTGCCCAAGAGATCAATTTCTAACCCAGCAATGATGAGTCAAATATTTTAGAGGTGAGTTTCCTAATGTAAGTGAGTGAACTCTCTACTTCAAGAAAGGGTTAGAAAAAGTGCTTGAATGAAGGAGATTTATGGGATGTAGTTCACCTGACTTGCCGATCAATTAATGTTCTTTTGGAACATTAATGGTTGAGGCTAAATTCACAAAACAAATTTTTAATTGACTACTACAATTATATGTGGAGTACAATGTGTACACCATATAATGCTCATCAGAGTGTTCTATTCATATGGAAATTCATACAATATTAGCTTACACAATATTATTTGCTGGAGGGTAGAAATCAGGATGATATTTACGTATTATTTACCTGTACAGTATTAAACATAGCACCATACATAAAGATAAATCCTTAATAGTATTTGGTAATTCTGTTAGAGTAGAAAACAGCAACCATTTCTTAATCTTCTTTCCCATAGTGGTTCTTCTTTAACCACTCCCATATTCATTTCTAAGCAAAGAAGCAAAAGTTTTTTTCCATGTTCCTTTCAATGTATGATTAGGTAAAAAGTGGGCAGGCTAAAAATCAGTATGATGATTTACTTACCTTGGTTCCAGTCTTAGACATTTTTAGTGCATGGGTTGATTTCCCCAGGGCTGAAAGGAATCTAGGAATAGCTACAGAGCTAGAAGCACAGAGACATTTATACTGGGCTTGTTTCAAATCAAACATTTGCTTAGTCATGAGAATAGGATCCAAAAATTGAGTCAGTCATTTATAGTCTATTGATGGGTTCTAGAAAAACAACTGGGATTATGAAATAAAGGAAAGCTTCAGTAGCCCCTTTAATGCTTACCAAGCCCTGCTGCATTTAGATTTTGCTGAGTCAAGACATCAAAATCCAGCCAAAGTTTTTAAAATTAAAAACAATAGTCTTGTGTAATTTTTTTCAGCAAGCACCCTCTGAAATTCCTAATGTCTTTTTCGTCATTAACAAAGTTTGCAGAAGATGAGTCAAAAGATCACTCTCTATTTCTAGACAAAAGTGACATGTTTGGAAATCAAAAAATATACATGACAAGTAAAGGCAATGAATAGTCTTATATTTAGAAAAGAATAACTACAAAGGACATTCTCGGGGTAATTAAAAAATATGGACTGTACACTATATATTCTTTATTATACCACTGTTTGACTTTTTGAATTTGATCATTATAGTATGATTAGGTAAGAGGATATCTTTGGTTTTGTGGAAATGCAGGCTGTAACATTTAAGAGTAAAGACCAGGATGTTGGTAACCTACTCTCATACTGTTAAGCAAAAATAAAACAATACTATACAGAAAGTGATAAAATGAATGTAGCAAAATGTCACTAACTGGTGAATCTACACAGAGGGTAAGGGGTTCAGAGACCTACTCTTGCAAATGCTCTTTAAGTCTGAAGTATTTTCAAAACATAAAACAGAAAGAGTTCTAACTCACAAGGGTGTCATAGTAGGCAGAAACAGAAAACTACTGTGGGACTCCAGAACTTGTCACATGCTAGGTGGTCTTTCTCTGCCCACAACATTATATGGGACCTGTTCAGAGAACATTTTTTGGCCTTTAATACCCACCTCTTACTTTAGGAATGTGGTAACATTTTATGTAAACTCACAACGAATCAACTCTTCTTCATTTTAATTTTCCTGTCCAAGCATACTCTTCTCAAAAACTCATCTTTCTCATCTAACAAAGCTATTCAATAAATACTTTTATAAATGATAACCACAAGCTTTATAAGATTATGATCAATTCCAAAAAATAGCAAATGTGTCTTGATTAGATTACTGAGAAACAAATATTGTTACATGCTCAGTTTTCTGAATTTTATAAATGTTAAAGTATTTGATTATTATCATTAATTCTACTAACAAACAATTTGTATTATTTTAGTGCTTCTTTATTTGATAATGCTCTGCTTGTTTGAATTTCATCTTAAAATAAAAACCAGGAAAACTTCAATTAGAACTAGTAAACATTCAAGTTAATTTTCACTTCAAAAATATAAAAGCAGTCTCTTTAAAATATATATACTTAATTAAATGACCAGTAAGCATATGAAATGTTGTCTGTCAATGATCAGATTGCTTTTACTAACTTGGAATTATTTTCCTTATCTTAAAGAATGTTTCCCAATCATATGTAAATTTTACTTTGATATAACATCAGAGAATGGCATTGGAAACCTTTTTTAAAATTAAAAGTGAAGATCTACCTTTTTAACAAAAGGAGAAAAATACTTTTTAAAAGAGTGTTTATTGCAAACCTGAAGCACAAAATAAAAAATATTTTTATACCATTTCATTACGTTTCATATTTTAAGGACTAATATATCTTTGTATAAAACTCTCTCTGCTGTATTTATAAACCAACAAGTCATACTTTCATTCTACTTATTTGTAGAAGGGGTAGCAATTTCCTTTCAAATAGGTACAAAGAACTATCAAACTCTTTTAGCTCTAGAAAGAATGAAATCCTTTGATCATACAAATTAAAATATGAAATAAACTTGCAAATCTATACCCAATCACTTATATATTAACATATACACAGTGGTGGGACTGCTTTCACCAACTTTTCATTTTGGCATCACAAACATGAGACTTCTGATGTTCTATAAACAATATGTTTATCTGAAAGTCAGAAATAGCTAAAATTCAACAGAAACATTAAAAAATGAGTATAGACTAGAAATCAAGAAAAGGTCTTAAATAGGAAGAAAAGGCCATGAAGTCTATCTTTCTGTCTCTCTCTCTCTTTTTTTTTTTGGTGGGATGGGGTTTGAACTCAGGGCTTTGTGCTTGCAAAGCAGGTGCTCTACCACTTGAGCCACATCTCCAGGCCCCAAAGTCTCATAAGCAGCAAGAATGCCTTCCCAATATGGTTTCAAGATGGGCTCATCCTCCATTGATCCTCATGTTTCCCAAGCCCTGAAGACAACAAAAGAAAAACTAATATCAATAAATTAATTGGCTCCATGCAAATAAGAAAAAAAAAAAACACGTGCATTTACAAAATCACATAAAGTATGAGGGTCAGATGATAGCTTAGAATGATAAAATAAAGTTTAAAGTTAACTATATTCCTTTTTGTGTCACGTTAGTTTATAATAGAAAAGAAATTTATATAGAGAAAAAAAATTGGCAGATTGTGAAGTTAAACTAAAATTTTACCCTCTTACAGTCTCCATTTCATTTGTATAATCTCCATAAAATTTTTCATTCTTAAATCTCAGCATTTATCAATTAAATATTATATTTAATTACTTTGTTTTAGAAAGTAATATACACTTTTAAAACATACACAGTAAAATAAAGAACATCTTTTTGTTGCTTTGGAAAACTGAAGTTCCTTAAAAAGTTAAGCTTATGTCCTTGAAATTCCACCTCTTGAAAACATGTCTGTACAAAAACTTGTACACAAATGTACACAGCAGCAGTATTCATAATAGCTAAAAAGCATAAACAACCTAAAGTGCATCAGCTGGTGAACAGATAAACAAAGTGCAGATTCACACAATGGAATATTATCCTGCCATAAAAAGGATCAAAGAATTCACATGTGCTACATGTATGAACCTTGAAAACATGCTGAAAAATTCCGACAGATTCTATTTACATGAAATGTCCAGAACAGATAAAGCAGACAACTGATTGTCAGGGGCTGGGGCTAAGAAGAGAGAGAGATTGGAGGGTGGGGCATGGGGAGTGACTGCCAATATAAATGGGCTTAATTTTATGTTATGAAAATATTATGGATTTGTAAATGGTGATGGTTGCACAAACTTGTGAAGATACATACTAAAAAGCCACTGAATTCTTCACTTTAGAAAGGTGACTTTTATGTTGAGTGAATTATATCTCACTAAAAATAGTTATTTTTTATACTCTAGATACCAACCCAATCTCATTCTTCAAAGACAAATGCTGTTTACAACTTTTTAATATACTTCAAGAAATTTTTCAGACATAATTAGCATATGTGTGTAAATCCTACCCTTTTTTCAAACATACAACATTTAAGTTTCCTGTGAGCCTAGAGACCATTCAGTTTCCACACGTATAGATATACTTCATTCTTCTAAAAGATGCATTCCATGATATGGGTGAATCAGTTCATTAGGCACCAGCCCTTTGTTGAGCAGCATTTGAGCTGTTTCTAGGCCATAGCTATTCCAAGGAATAAATTCAAGAGATCTCTTGTATAATGTGATGACCACAGTTAATAACAATATTGAAAAATGGTGAGAGTAGATTTTAAGTCTTCTCACCATAAAAATAACAACTATGTGAGGTACTGCATGTTAATTAGCTTGATTTAACCATTCCATACTACGTATATATTTCAAAACATCATAAATCTATAGAATTTCATCTTTCAATTAAAAAATAGAATGAAAATTAAATAGATCTTCATATACACAAGCATATCTGTTAGATAAATTTTAAGAAGGGTAATTGTTAAGCCAGAGAATATTTGTATTGCTAATTAAAATTTTATCAAAGTGCTCTTCAAAATGTCGGAAGACTCAAAAAGTTTTGGACTTTAGAGCATTTGGAGTTCAGATTTTCAAATTCGGATGCACAAACAGTAAAGTCTAAGCAAAACTCCAAATCCTTAAAAAAAATACAAAATCTGAAACACTTCTGGTCTCAAACATTTCTGTCAAGGACAGTCACCCTATATATCAAATTTCTTTAAAGTGAACATCCTTGTCTCTGTAAGTACTTTTCTGTGAATTAGATAATGTCTTTTGTCTGTTTTTCCATTGTTAGTGTTTAAAATTGCTTTCCCCAGCACCACAGAAAATAAACAAAAATTCTTTCAAGTAGCAAACTTAATTTCTATTTCTAAAATGCTATATATTTGGATTTAAATAACTTCCAGCAAATTTGTCTGTACCCATGTTCTTATCTATATATGTTCAGTAATCAAATCTTCATTTGGATTAATTCTAGTAACTTATTACCTCTCAAATGTGATTAATAAACATCAGCTAATTTATTAATTGGCTGCTGGAGGAGGATGAGAAAGAGGAAAGATATGTCAGAAAGGGGGAATAAATCACAAAGCTATTAGTGAGGGAAAGTGGTTATCTTTGAACAGTACAACTTGTGCCAAGCAAAAAGCAGAAAAAGATAAAAGGTGACCATTATATTTGCTCAAAATTCTGTTTCACTTGAATATCTGGTTGGTTTTCTAACTATAAAATATGGTAATTATGCCTATCTATGCTGGTTTGAGTGGTGAAAAAATTTAGCAGAGGTCAAACATAATATTCTGTGTATTTTTTTATATGCTTGGAAGATTTACTCTAAAGAATTTCTTTTAAGTGTTCTGCATTATAAATGCCTACCAGCGATATGATGTAGATGTCCTATCCTGCTGCTTGTTTGGAGCCTGCTGCAGGGGGTACAAGAGTGTCCAGCTGTTGGCGATGACCTGTATTAATCAACCATTCATAAAACTTGTTCTCCACAAGTACCTGGAACTGCTTCCTTTGTTCCCTAAAGTTGCAAAAAATAATGTAAGAACATTCATTCAGATAAACTTTTCATTAGGTGATTATTTATCACTTGTAACACTTTAATAGGACAAGGTTAAAAGATTATTTCTAGTTATCTTTTATTCTCACTCTGCTCAAAGTAGCTTGGACACTCCTTCCCACCAAATAAAAGGATTAGTCATATACAGTGTCCTCTTTGTAAAGACTTATTCATTGTCAGATATTTGCTGAAGACCAAATGAATGCTGTGTAGTGTTCTGACTGATGGGGAGAAACATATAACGAGAAGAGACAAGGCTTCTGTCTGGCCAGGCCAACACTGTCTGACTCCAGAGGGCATCATTTACATTGTGATCTATTTAGGCTATGTTCCTGTGGATTGTATATTCTATAAGAAAGATAGGTAAGAAATAAAATTAATATCTAATATAATCTTAAGTAGTTATAAGAAAACTATTTGTTGGAGAAAAATAGAGCAGGGCCACAGAATGGAGAGCATTGGGAATGCTGTTTGAGAAAAAGTAGACAGAAGAGGACTCTCTGAGATGACACTTGAACAGAGGTCTGCATGAAATGATGGAAGAAGAAAAAGACTATGTGGAGAGGAAGCCATGCAGAAGAAAACAGAAATAATATAAACACCCTAACATAAAAGCATGCTTAATATTCTCAAGATAATATAGAGAAAAGTAGCTCCTAACAGCCAGAAGCCAACTTAGCACTATCAGCTAGGCTTTAGTGTAGCTACAATCTGTCCTGGTTATTGTGTTCTTCTACTGAACACAAACAATCCCATAGAATACCAACATTACATAGGCCACCTGGAATGAGGATGGATGAAAGCAAGAACAAGAAACTCCACATATACTTTAGTCCAGAGGAAAAATGAAATGCGGTTCAAATCTCAAAAATGACCAAATAATCACCCTTTCCTGGCTAACTTTAGTTCCACTTCACTTCCCTACCCATGCCTTAGAGATAAAAATTATGAAGTGACCAATCATAAAATTACTCTCAGTTCCAGACAGCATCCAATTTACAACAAAGTCTTGCTTTCTAGAACTCTTCCCAAAATCCTATACCGTGAACCAGAATGCAATGATAAATTCTTTTTAACCCCCTTTTACTGAGTTCAAACACAGTTCCCTTCCTCCCTGGACTGAGTTGCTACAATCTATGACATATTCCTGGTGATTCTTGGCCAGAGAGCAATGACTAAGTAATAGCAAGACTTTTGTATGAGGGGAGTGAATGAGGTAAACAATAGCAGAAAATGAGGCAGAGAGGGCCTCTTAGGTAGGCATAGTAAAAGCTTTGGATTTTATTCCAAATATGGGAAGCCATCAGAGGGGTCAGAGCCTGAAAGACATGATCTATCACCTTTTAAAGCATCAGCTTGGCTTTCAATCTGATTTCTTTCTATATAGATGCCCCCCAACTTATGATGGCTAGACTACTGATTTTTCAACTTTATGATGGTATGAAAGCCATATGTATATATTCAGTACAAAATGTACTTTAAGTTTTAGTCTTTTCTCTGACCACAGATATTGCAGTATGATACTCATTTTCAGTGCTAGGCATAATCAGTACACTGTAGCTCCCAGTCACCCAGTCACATTATCATGAGAGTAGATACTCTTCAGTGTACTTACTGTGTTGCTAGGCTACGTTGTTCAGTAGGTTAGGTATATTTAATACATCTTTAGCTCATGATGTTTTCAATTTACTATGCATTTTGATTGGGATCTGAAGAGCATCTATATTCCCAAAGTTAAACTGACTACTTTCATTGTATCTACTGTCATTACGAATCTCACAGATTGAAAATACTGGTTCAGAGTCAACATTACAAACTCTACCCATCTGTATAAGCTTTTCATATGTATAAGAAAATACAGACATCTAAATAACAGAAGTATTCAAACAACAGAATTATTTTAAAGGAATCTTTTTATAAGCATCTTTTTATATATTATAATTTTATTATTATACTGTATGATATTAACAATAACTGAAAGAAAATAGAAGACATTAGAGGCATTTAAAAACCTCTGGCTTAAGGGTGACAAGATGTGAATCCACATCTCATATCTGCCAACTAAATGCAAGCTTTCTTGCCCGGTACCCCATGCTGGCCTAGAGCTTGCTATGTAACATAGGCTGGTCTTGAACTCTTGATTCTCCTGCATTAGCCTCTTCAGTGCTGGGAGTATAGGCATGAACCACTATGGTCAGCCAAACTTAAACTTTTTCTTAAAAGAAGGCAGTCTAATACTTGAACACCTGCTCATTGCCATTCCCCAATTACAGTGCCTAAAATACTGATCTGAAATCTAAGACTAACAAAAGGCATACTGTATTGTTTTAATTACTTTGGCACAACTGTAAATTTGTGCTGATGAATTTGTTTTATAAAGTTTCAGATAAAATACAAAAATTGCTTCTAAAAAAACACTCACTTTGTCAAACGAGCCTCCTTCACAGTTTTCTGCCAGACCTGTATCTTCTGTTCTCTTTGAGCCAGTGCTTTCTGATATGAAGATGGAAGACCCCCAGGTATCTCTGTTGTGTCCCCTTCCATTTCAAAGGGAATAATAAATACATAGAATTCACAAGGTGGTAAGAGTCGGAAGACACTGTTGCTGTTCTCTCTGCACACAACCATTGGATTATCCCAATAGTTAGGCACTGTAGCAAGACCAGTCCTGGCCATATGGTCCTCTAGCATTGGGTAGTGGGTATGAAAGGGAGCAAAAGTTACTCTCTGGTTCCCAGAGAGAATAAGTGGACGTGAAGGTGTCAGAATGTGAAAGATGCAACCTGTTGTAGAAGAGATGGACAAACGATGGCAAACAGCAATGACTTTAACGTTGTCACAGCTGTGGAGGTGAAGAGCAGTCTCTACAGGGCCTAAGACAAAGGTGCTATTGCTGCACTTCTCAATTGTCACAGATCTGAAAAAATTTAAAAGTGAAGTAAGTTTCTCTGAATGAAAATAAGGTAAGAAATAGTGCCTAAAATAATATTCTCTGATGGTAAAAAAAAAAAAAAAAAAAGATCCTAGTTCAAAGAAAACATCAAAATGCCAGAACACTAAGAAGACTGTGCTTACCGTAAGGGAGAGAGCAAATATATAAAAGATTCGTTGCAACGATGAATCCTGACATGTGCTCCCACCAGGGTATCTGAGCTCTTGGCCAGTGTCTGCTTATAAACGTGGCTCATCACCACCATGCGGTGCATTCGAGGGGCCACATGAGTATTGCAAGCTATCTTAGCTCTTTTGGTCATACCTTCAACTATTTAAGAAAACATGTAAATAAATCAGACAGTTTCAAATCTAAGACAAACAAACAACCATATGAGGTTACACATGTCTACACATACTCATGTCTAATCTTAGATACATGTAGAAAAAAATGTTACATTTCAGTGCTGGGTAAGGAGGTGTTTATAATACTGCTCTCTATTCTTTTCTCTATATTTGTAATCTTTCATGATTTTTTATAAAAAATTTTAAGCTTATAATCCACCCAAGATTATCAATAGATCTAAGATGTTTCTTTCATGCTATCTTTTAAGTTAAGTAACATACCTAAGATTATATGGCTTGCAAGTGGCAGAATTGGCCCAACTCAAATACCTTCTCCAAGATGCCTTCCTTTATCATCCCAGCCATAATTAACCTCTCTAAGTTGTCATTAATATTCTGTACCTCTCCTGATTTACTTATGGTATCATTTCATGAATTCTAAGACTTTAAGTCTTTACTACGAAGACCACTACTACCTGATATAGTAATACCTGATGTACATGCGTATTATATATAAATTGTCTTATACAAATTGACATCAAAAATATGTATAGATTGCCCTCCTAACACAGATTTAACATTATGTGACTAGCTTCTCTGTAAGCAATGGTGAAATGTGGAGAGGTCACATAAATAAATTCTTTTAAAAGAATTACTGTTTTTAAGTTATGTATGTCTAGTTTATAGTATTATAAAATTTTTATACTTGCTGGGGGTATAGCTCATTGGTAGAGAATATGCTTAGCATGCATGAGGCCCCCAATAACCAGTACCTCCCCAAAACTGACACAAAACTATTGTTTTAAACATTTGTATAAAAGCTATTTTTTTCCTCTATTTTGAAATTCAGAGATCGTAGGCCTAGTCTAGTGCAGTTTTTTTTTTTTTGGCATCAATTTTGTCTGGCACTTTCCTCAGTAGTAGACACCTGCAGAGACGTGTGCCCAGTTCTTTTTCTCTTAAAACTTATGCATGAGCCCAGGAGTGATATAGCATCTGAACCCATCCATTTAGTCAGAGCTGGACAACCAGGATAGATACCTGATGCAACCAATGCAAACTTCTTGCTACTGTAAACATATTTCTAATTTAGAAATACTACTGTGCTTGTGTCTATGTAGCCAGAAAAGACCACCTCTCTACAACAACTCTTTGAGGCAATTTCTGTGTGATGGCCAAATTCTGCTGTGTTGAATATAAAATAAAAAAGCCTCCAAGCAAGTGTCACATAAGATTAAGAGGGAGCAGAGAGGACTAACTGTAGTTGGACTTTCATTATCTGACCAAAAAGACCCTGACTAATAAATTACCTCTCTGAGATTCCTGCTGCCTTGAGCAGTAACTGCTCTTTTATAGTAACATTTTTTTTAAGATCCTCTACAGATGTGCAACCATTAATATATCAAGAAACACTGGGCTCCTTGTCATTCAATTTAATATAGAGTAAATATTTAAATAATACCTTGGTGAGCCCAAGCCAATTTCTTTCCAGACTTGAGACAAGCAGATGTACCAAAAGGGTTCCCAGTCAAACAGGCTCTCAACCAGGCTTCCAGCTTGTAGAAAGAGAAAGTCTTAGAAATTTTTGAGAAGCCACTTTCTGCATGGAGTGGTTGCCACAGTGCAAGTTCATGAAGTGGACAGACCTTCCTGGCTCTACTTGCTGTGCCTTCAATAAGAAAGCTAAGGGCTACAACAGCTTCTTGAGAGACTAGACTACTGTGGGTCGAATGAAATGATGCAGTGAGTTGCTCTGGATCTAAAAGCAGTTCAAGGAGATCTGACAGATGATCACAGACAAAAGCCTGGTGACTATAATCATTCCAGTTCTAAAAAAAAAAAAGAAAGAAAGCACTCTTAACAGATTCTTCTACAAGATCTAAAAATTTTATGTGTTAATTATCTTGCATTTATATGCTGCCTTATCCCCTAAAAAGAATTTAGGTGGCTAATATAAAAAAATGCTTTTTTCAAGTATATGATAAGTATAAACAGACTGTCTATGTTCACTAATTCAAAAGCAATATGAGTTGAATATTCCTTGTCTGAAATGCCCTGGGACCAGAAGTGTTTTGGATTATTCTAGATTTTAGACAATTTGCATTTATATAGGAGGCATTCTTGAGAATGAGACCAAATATAAACATGTTTATGCTTCATATACATCTTAGACACACAGCCTGAAGGTAATTTTCTCCAACATTTTTAGCATACCTACATTCTAACTGCCATCTGTCATTTGAAGTCAGCTGTGCAATTTTCTATTTGTGGCATCATATAAGCACTCAAAAAGTTTCAGATTCTGCAGCATTTAAGATTTCTGAGTTTCAGATTAGAGATGCTCAACCTAATGCTTAATAGGTGCTAAACATTAAGTGATATATATACTTTTTTTAATTCTTATAATCCTAAAATAGGTACTATTACCACACCCATTTTACAGATAAGGAAATGGAGATACAGAAAGATTAAGAAATTTGCCCAAGGTCACCTAGCTAGAAATAGTGTGTTTCAGAATAAACATAAAAATAAGTACTATGAAATTCATTCAATGAAGCACTGGGTTTCTAGTTATAGAAGGAATTTCAAATTCTACTGGGTGAGGTGATTTTAGTGACCAGATTTAAAAGAACTCATAACCTTGGGAATAAGCTTGGCGTTGCCTCATTTATTTGAAACATATTTTTTGAGCACCTCTTATTTAGTGTGAGTATTACTAAATGATGAAAACTGAGTAGAGTATGGTACCTGTCCTAAAGGAATTCACAAGTCTATGTGTTGAGAAGATAATATAAGTACATAAGCAAAGTACACTGAGATAAGACCTTCTGCAGAAAACTGTAAATACATTCTAGGAACATAAGAGAAACAACTCAATCCACCTAAGGGGTGTGTATGTATGGTGGGAAATCATGGTGGAATGTTGCTTGAATAGATTCTTGATTGATGTTGGTAGTTAAACAAGCAGACTTAACAAAATAAAACAAACAAACAAACAAAAAAAGGCATTTTAGGCCCAGGGAACAGCATGTACAAAGGCCCACAGGAGTAAAACTACTTTGTTGGAAGTTCCAGGTATAAGAAGCATGCTGGGAAGAAGCAGCTGAAGTGCCAAGGCATTTCAAACTTTTTCTAAATAGTTTTGTGTGTGTGTGTGTGTGTGTGTGTGTGTATGTGTGTACTTAATTTTTTGTGTGTGTGGTACTAGAGTTTGAATGCAGGGCCTTGCACTTGAGCCATACACTTTTTTTTCTTTTAAATAAATTCTCATTTGCATGCTAAAGGAACAGATCAAAGAAGAGCTGTCTTCAGTTTTAACCTGCTGTTCTTCCTTCTCACTGTATCCCCCTCCTCCTCAAGTAAGCCTTGAGTAGACTTCATGGAAAATGATAATGAAGATTCACTGATGAACAGAAGATGAATATAATACATCTGCACTTTACAAAGTCTAGCATGGTAGGGAATGACTGTCGACTAAAAACAAGATTGCCACCTAAGATCTAATGATAGAAATCAAAGCAAAAACGTACGTCAGATTTTTTAAAAAGCCTAGGTAAAAGGAACAGATGTAAAAGGGACAGATTTAAAGAGTTGTTTTGAGGCAGAATCAGTAAGATTTGACAACTAGATATGGGTGGGTTGGTGGCAACTTTCACTGGCATAGGCAGGGCAAGTTAACCCAAAGATAGATTTGACTGTAGGATGTACTGTCATCTCCCAAACTAAAGCAGAAGGCCTCATGAGAAATGGAACTGGAAAGCCATCTGTAATCTGCTTTCGGAGGCTGATGTCTCTCTGAATATATGTTCCTTTTGCTTCTTTTCCTCGGATGTGAAGTATTTTGTGTTTCACTGGTTACTTCAGTGGAGGGGGCGCTGTTTTCTCGCTTCCTCCTTTGTTAGAGCAAGCTTTCTCTCTCACTCCTGGTTATTACTGAATCTAACTGGGCTTGACTGGGGGCACTAGAGATTCAGAAAAGACACAGGATAGACAGACAGACAGACAGAAAGTGGTGTCAGGTGTGTTGGGTGCTCAGGTGGAGACGTCCAACCCTCATTGCTTCTTTTCTCTATCTTTATTCTTTAAGGCCTTACTCCTTTCAGCTCTTTAAAACCTTGCTTAAAACCTCTTTCCTGAGACTCTCACTGTCCCATGTTTTATCTTTAGCTTAAGCACTCTTAAAGTCTTTTGCCCCCAGGCTTGCAGCTTTTCTTCAGCATTCTCTCCTTAGCTTTCTTAAAGCCTCAGTGCTTAGACTTGCAAAGTCTTGGTCCTCTGTCTTGCACTGTCCCATGTTCTTTGGCCTTTCTTTAGCTTCTAAGGTTCTTTCTTTGGCTTTGCTTTTCTAAGGCCTATGTTAAAGTTCTAGGTGCAGACTTTTTATCCACCCCCTTTAGCCATTCTTTTCCCTTCACCAATTTCCCTGCAATTCTTTTCCTTTCCAAAATCTTCCCAAACCAAAAAGCCAAAGCCCAAAAAACCTCCAAAGCAAAAGCCTCAAGCCCTCCTTCAGCGGGCCTTTTATAAACCATGGCAAACAGGGTGGAGCAGAGGCTCTGGGGAGGGGCGTGACACTGTAACAGGAGAAACCTGCGTTCCTACTTCTCTGAATGCAAACTTAGGGTATTCTGCTTTTTCTGTTTCGTAGCCGGGGCTGTGCCTATCTTGGCCTACAGGTAAAAGCAATTAAGCCACATCTTGCTTTGCTTACGTCCAGTTCTCATAGGCTTTTCATAATCTGCTTTCCACACTTCAGAGTTTCTAATCCCTCATAATTGCAAGTCACTTATGAGCATGGTGGCTATTCTAATAGGTCCAATGCCACATGAGTTTTTAGCTTGAGCACCCATCACCAACTGGTAATTTCTTCAGTCTCTAGGGGGACTGATAACCCCAGGTCATCATTTCAAATCAGACCCATTTCAAATTTATAGTAGCAATGAGAGCTAGGTGTGATGGCCCATGCCTATAGTCACGGCTACTTGGAAGTCTGAGGCTGGAAGATCACTTGAGCTTAGGAATTTGAGACCAGCCTGGACAACATGGTAAGACTAATTCTCTAAAACAAACATAAGAAGCCAAATATACAACAATGAATGAGTTACTCTACCGAAGTGTCCATTCCTGATACCATCAATGTTGGGATAGGTAATATACTATAGTACAAAACAAAATCACCATTTACTGGTGACTACTATGCAAAAAGTCTCATGCTAATATATAACCAAAATCTCATAGCCATTTAGAACAGGCTTTTTTATCCCCTTTTAGAGTGGAGAATCCAAGGCCTAGACAAGTTAACTGGACTAAAATCATGTGACAGTGTTACAGCTAATCTGAATGCAGGCTATCTTGGCTAAAATCACCATCTACTAAGAGTGCCCAATTAGCAGGAACTTCATCTGGAGAGAGCACATAATGACTGTTATGTCTAAAACATCTAGACTTAGACATAGAAAATTTAAGGTACAACTAGGGTATCTATGAGAAGAGATAAATATGAGGCAAGAGCTCTAGCATGGAGACAAACTTGAGAGTTACTGAGATTCAGGAAGTCTTGAGAACAAAGAGAATTACATTGAAAGCATATGTTAAGAAGATAAAACTGCTCCAGACAGAATCCTGGAGGAAGAGCTGCATGTAAGGGATGGGGGATAGGAACTCACGAAGAAAAGTGAGAAGGAAGAATCAAAAGCAGAACCGAGATGGTACTGCATCATAGAATATAGGGGAGGACAGTTTATTGAAAAGATTATAAAATACTAAATATTAAAGAAATTTTTTAGCTACAGAACTTTTTTTTTTATGGTGGGACTGGTGTTTGAACTCAGGGCTTTGCACTTTGGGCACTCTACCACTTGAACCACACCTCCAGTCCATTTTGCTCTGGTTATTTTGGAGATGGCGTCCCATGAACTGTTTGTACAGACTGGCCTTGAACCTTTTTCTTCTGGATCTCAGCCTTCTAAGTAGCTAGGATTATAGGGTGAGCTACCAGTGCCCAAAAGCTACAGAACATTTTTAGAACATTTTTAAAGAGCTTACATATGACATTAATACTAAGGTTTACATTTTAAATTTTTTCAAAATACTTTCACAAAAACAGGTAAACAAATTTTTGTTTTTCTTTTCAAAAATAGAAAGGAAGAAGCAGTAAGACATTTTCTAAAACTCACAATGTAAAGCAGTTAACACATATGACAAAACACATAAAATTATATGCATGACTAAGCAATGGAAGATGCTTTTAGGAAATTTTTTCAGTAGATTTCAACAGACTTTGCAGACACTGTATCTTCTCATTTTCCTATTTTAGTCAAATAAGTAGATTTAAATTCATGAATATTTGCAAAAGTGGGAATGCTAATAGAACATAGTGAATGATTTACCTAAAAATCATATAAGTGATTTTTATATTAGAGAAGGAACTGAACCAAATCTTTATTTTGATCAGGACTGCACACACTGATTTTGTTTCATAATCAGAAAAAAAAGCAAACACCAAAACAAACCATTAAATCATTGGTCTATACAGGAACATATAATTTGGGGGGTTTTTTCAGGCAGGGTCTTGCTATGTAGCCCAGGTTGACCTAGGACTTTCAATCTTCCTGCCTCAGCCTCCCACACAGAGGATTATTGGTGTGCACCACCATATTCAATTTCATTCCAACATAATTTGCAATGAAGCTGAACCATCTCCTTTATAAACTGCGCCTTTTGGAGAAAGAGACCAATATATAAACAGTACCTTAAAATGACAATTGGATTTTTCAGTCAGGTCAGGAGACTGAGATCTGTTTCTGGGACTAGGCCACTCATCTCCAATCAAAGATGTCCTCAGGGAAACCTTGTTTAGTTGCTGTATATATAAGAAGAGCAGAAACTGTAGGGTATCCACTGAAAGCTGTTTAAGAAAATAAAAGGGAACATGTCTAAAACAACACCAGTTACTAGTTTATAAATAAGTAGACACAGTAAACTAAATTCAGAGTTTGTTGATCTTAAAAAAAAAATCCAGAAACACTGCTAACATTTGATATATGTCTCTGACATCCAGATGTTAGTTTCTCAAACTAAATAAATGGAATCACTTACCTTTATAGAATATCATAGAAATTCTCTCCCAAGATTAATGAAGAAGAAAGGATGAAGTACATACTTTCCAAAAGCACATTATTTCAGAAGCTTAATATTACAGCTAAAAAAACTTAGTAATTTGATAAGTAAATTAATAGAAGAAAAAAAAGAAATTTGGTCAACACACAGAGGTTGACAGACTTACCAACAAAGTGTAACAAATGAAACTGTACATAATTTCTTGGTTTATGTGCATTTTGTACAATAGGTCTCAGGCTTTTGTAAAATTCTTAGATCATTTAAGGAAAGGGAGGGAAGAGAGTCAGACATGGTGGCACATGACTGTAATCCTAGCATTCAAGAGGCTGAGGTAGGAGTGAGACCTTATCTTAAAACAAGACAAAACCAACAACAAACAACATAAAAACACTACTGACCTAACAGTTATATAGTCATTTACTTGAGGAAGAGTGTGGTTTGAAGTTTATAATTCTAAGCTCATGATTATTCTTGCATACCCATCCCCATAAACAGGAGAGACAAAACACCAAAGTGATGTATCTGGGTCTACAGTTACATTCACCTTGATTCCAACCTGGCTAAAAATCATTATCACCTGAAGAACTGAAAAATATAGATTCTTAAGTTCACCCAGATCTATCTGATCAACTGTCAATGTGGAGTACCATGAACGCATATATTTTGTAAAATTTTCCTTTCTTAAACTTTTTGAGGTAACTGCAGATTTACATGCAGGTGTAAGAACTAATATTGAGAGATGCCACTTATCCTTTACCCAGTTTCCCATCTTACAAATTACAGTGCAATATCACATCTAGAATATTGACAATGAAATAGTCAATGACATTGAGACATTCAAGATAGAGAACATTTCCATTAACACAGGGCTCTCTCATGTTGCCCTTTGTAGCCACACCTACTTCCCTGTCACCATTCCTTAACCCCTGGCAACTACATCTCTCTGTAACTTTTTTATCACAAGAATGTTACATAGGGAGCATGGCTCAAGTGGTAAAGCACTTAACCTAGCAAATGCTAAGGCCCTGAGTTTGAACCCCAGAACTGCAAAAAAAAAAAAAATAAAGTTACATAAATGGAATCATACGAATGTAACCTGTAACCTTTGGGGATTGGCTTTTTTCACTCAGTGCAATCCCTTGATTTTATGCATATTTTCATCTTAACAATTATTTGTTACAGTATAATTATTTCTTCAGTCTTCCTGCAAGACTATAAGATTCTTTTCTATTTTTATACCCGCAGCAGCTAGCAAAAAATGTGGTACACAATAAGCACTCGAAAATTTTGGAACTTCTCAAAGATTTTATTCATCTCTATATCCAAATTGTCCACCACGACATCTAGCACATAACATGTACTCAACAAATAACTAATGAATAAAGCAATGCTCTTCTCCTCTTAGTTGTGTGACAAAATTCTTTTCAAACTTCTAAAATCTTGTTTAGATATTACCTCATGTGGGAGAGATTGGCTAGAAGCTAATTGCTTTTTCTCCTCTTCAGAGCACACAAGTAGATGGCATTTTCCAGCTGCCTTGCAGTTAGGTATAACATCATTGAATTAGGGTCAACAGAATGTAGGTGAATTTATACTTATCACTTTAAAACTCTCTTAAAAGAAATGGAAGCAAAGAACTTTGAGGCCCCACAAGGCTGTGGCAAACAGTATTATTACTTGCAATTATTCACCTCCCGTTTTGCTCAGAGGCTTAGAAAGCCCTATCCATGGTCATGGGATTTCTCTTACTGCTGTGAGATATTTTACTTTCCTAGCTTATTGACTTTAGGCTTGGCCTTGTGACAAAGCTTTACAGTCAACGGTAAAATAGTTTATGTCACATCTGAGCAAACGTTTTAAGAGGCATCGAGAGGCCATATATGCATCTTGAGCAAATAAGGTTTCTTCTTCTTCTATTTTTTTTTTTTTAGGGCCTCATACTTGCTAGGCAAGAGCCCTGTCCCACTGCTATTTTCAGCAACATGGATGGCCCTAAAGGACATTATGGTAAGTGAAACAGGCCAATACAGAAAGATACTATATGACCTCACTGATATGTTGTATTAGTCCATTTTTTGTTATTATAATGAATTATCTGAGGCAGACTACTTTATAAAGTAGGGGTTTATTGGGGCTCACAGTTCTGGAGATGGAAGGTAGAGAGCCCACATCTAGTGGTGGCCTTTTTGTTGGCAGAGTCCCAAGGTGACCCAGGGCATCAGATGGCAAGAGGCAAGGAATGTACACTTGTGAGTCTGTTTACTCACTTTCCCACTTTTTATAAAGCCATGGGTATTCAATCATGGGGATTGATACCTTATCTAATTCTAATTACTTTCCAAAGGCCCTGCACCTTTGAACACCATAGTCAGGTTAAGTTTTCACTCTCTCAGTTCTTCATACTGGGGGTTAAATTTCAACATATGAAGCTTCGGAAGACTCTCAAATCATACCTAAACCATAGCATATATGGAACCTAAAATAGACTCACAGAAGGAGTGGAATGGGACTGTCATGTGCCAGAAGGAGAGGCAAATAAAGAGCTAATAGTAAGAAGCTACAACGTTTCACTTATGCAAGATAATTTAGTTCTGCAGACCTATAATTCAGTATTGTGCCTTTAACTTATAATACTGTATTGTATACTTAAAAATTTTCTAAAAGGGCTGACTTTATTCTAAGTGTTCTTAACATACACATACTAATATAATAATGGAGGTGAGGGAACTTTGGAGAGGTGATAGATATGTCTATGGCCATAACACTGGTGATAGGTTCATAGTTTATATTTTTTCTCAAACTTATCAAGTTGTACACATTAGAAATGAGAAAAAAAAGGTATCATGAGTTTCCTTCCCACTCTGTTGTTCTTCTCATCTGTAACAAGAATAAGAATGACCTACAAAGAAGTTGTTTCTTCAGCCTATATTCCTAAATGAGAAGATAGTGCCAACCACAGAGAAGAAACGAGCCACAGTTGAAGTGCAGCCTGCAAGTAAAATGAGCAAAAAATAAACAGTTGCTACCCTAAGCCACTGGAATTTCATTGTTTGTTTGTTTTTCCTGCAGTAAAGCCAATTAATACTAATAGTGACTCCTAAATATAAAAACAAGGATCCTTGGGTCACTGCTTAGACAACAGCCCAGGAATTTATCCTACCACATGAACTTATGTAGGACTGCTGGATGAGTGAGAAACAGTTACTGTTCCAAGCTACTGAAATCCTGGGATTATTACTATAATTAACTTACTATGATTAAAATGCTGACTCTGTAAAGTCTTTCTGTATCATCAGAATGAATTATTCTCTACTCTATTTCTGAACTTTATGTATAATTTTCTTTTTTTGGCAGTATTGTGGTTTGAATTCAAGGCCTTACCCTTGCTAGGCAAGCTCTTGACTACTTGAGCCATACCCCAGTTCCTATGCATAATTTTTTTTTAAACATACCAGTTACCTCTACTAGTTTATCATCCCTGGAGGACAGAGATGCAGGTGCTATAGTTTGGATATGATTTTCTCCCCCAAGGATTCATGTGTTGAAGCTTGATCCCTACTACAGCCATTTTAACAGCTGGTGGGACCCGTAAGAGGTGGGGCCTTGTGGGAAGTTGTTAGGTCTTGCTTCCTTCAGAAGAGATTAAGATAGTTCTCTTGGGAGTCTGAGTTAGTTCTCAAAAGGAGGTGTTATAAAAGAGCAAGACTGGCCTCTCTCCTCCCTCTGACTTTCAATCTTATATGTATTCTTTCCCTCTTGCACTGCTTCTGCCACGATGATGCAGTCACGTAATGCCAGGGCCCCTTACCAGAACCAGCACTATGCTGGTCTAGACACAAAAATTGTGAGCTAAATAAACCTCTTTTTAAGCTACCCAGCCTCAGATATTTGGTTATAATAAAAGAAAAAGTACTAATAGAGTAGACCCTTGGTATCTATAAGTACATGGTTGCAAGGAAACTGTTACTGAGAACAAAGCGTGAATGCTCAGGATGCATAGAGCTGAGTACTAATTCACTTTTCCCATAGTACCACTCAACTTCCATTAAAGACACGTTGCCTCTCATTAAATCTATTTTTTTATTTTATCACTTAAATTAAGCACATTAACGTTTATCTTGCTTTCTGGGAGGTATATTTTCACAAAATTATGCACATTTCACAAAATGAGTGTAGGGAAACGCTTGGCAGATCATACAATGACTTAAACACGTCTGATGCTAACACAGGACTGTGTGAGAATTTCTCCACATCAACTGAGTTGCATGGTACACACAAGGAAATTTAAAATTTTGTTTTTGAAATTTCTTTTGATTTTTTAAATTTACTATTTTTTTTACTGCACTTAGTCAAAACTGTGTGTAGTAAATCCACAAATAATGCATGCTTACTGTACAGAAAATTGGTGCCAGGGGTGAGAATGTTGCTAGTAACAGGTAACTGAAAATGTGTAATTGGCTTTGGAAGTGGGTTATGGGTAAAGGTTGGAAGAGTTTGGAGGGAGAGGCTAGAAAATACCTAGAATGCTGTATATAGAGCATTATGAGTGATTCTGGTGAGGGCTTAGCTTAGGACACAAGAAGATGGGGAAGAGTCAGAACACCTTAGAAAGTGGGTAAGTGGGCCTGACCAGAATGCAAATGAGGAATATATTGTAAATTCAGAGAAAAGGTCATCCTTGCCAGATCACTGCACTGAGATGCACTGAAGGCTGAACTTAAAAGTGATTAACTGGAATGCCTGGTAGAGGAAATATCTAAACAAAGCATTCAGGCAGTTGCTTGGTTATGTTTTTGGTTGTTGCCTGGTTACTTTTTATGGGATGTAGTAGAATTCAGTCACAATGGCATGACCTAAAGGTGGAATGTATAATTTAAAGACAAAAATATTGAAAATTCTGCAGCCTGGCTAGGGAAAGAACAAAAAAAAAATCAGGTAGGGATGCAGGTCCATCAACCATTTACTATAGAAATTAGCATGGATGAAAAGAGGCCAGATGCTGTACATCAGGGCAACAGAAAGAGGCCTGGAGAAAATCTCAGAAATCTGTGAGGTTGCCTCTCCATCACAGGCCTAGAGGCCTAAGACAGAACTATCTCAAGGAGTAGGCCATGGATGCTTTCCACAGCCTTACTGTCCAGGAGTGCCTTGGGATTCTGCTCCGTTTTCTACAAAAGCACTCTGTGGGCACTCCAGCTATGTTCAAGCATGCCCAGGTCAGCTCATAACATTGTTCCAAAGGAGCAAGTGCCAGACCTTGGTGTCCACATGCTGCTCATTCTGCAGGCATGCAGAATGCAAGTTATAAGGTCATGGCAGCTTCTACTAAGATTTCAAAGCAAACCTGGGAGGCCAGTCAGAGGCCTGCTCAAGGAAGAGCTCCCACAGAGGTACCACTTGGGCAGTGCTTGATGAAGCTGTAGAAGTGAGCCCACCACAAAACTCCAGAACTATAAAGCTATCACTGTGTAATGCCAGCCTGGCAGAACTGTAGTCATGAGACTCTAAATTGAGATGGCTGAAGTGTGTGCTGAGTCCAGCAAAGCCATAAGGGCAGGGCTGCTTGAGGCCTTGGAAGCCCAACCCCAGAGTGCACAAGATGCAGAACTTGGAGCCTTAAGATTTCATGTCTCTCTGCTGGGTTTTAGACTTGCTTTGGACCAGTTAGTACTTTCTACTTGCCTATTCCTTTTGAAATGGCAATGTATATCACCCTGTGTCTATCCTAACATTGTATATCAGAAGTAGATAAGTTGTTTTGACTTTACAGGCTCACAGCTGAAAGTTTACTGTGAATCTCAAGTGAGACTTTGGACTTTTGAACTGATGCTAGAACAAGTTAAGACTTTGAGACCATTTGGATGGTATAATTATATTTTGTGAAGACATGAGCTGTGGGGAGTGAGAAGCAAAGGCAGAACGGTATGGTTTGAATATGGTTTTCAACTCATGTTGAAATTTAATTGCCATTGTGAGGAATTAAGAGGGTGGAAACTCAATCTGACTATGGTGTTTAGAGGTGGGTCCTTAGATGAAGATTAAGATTAATATGATCATCAGGGTAGAGTCCCCCATGATTGAATACTGGTGGTTTTATAAGACGAAAAGAAACTGGCATACATACACTTACATACACACAACATGCACATACTCTTCTTGTCTCTCACCATGTGATGTCCTTCACGGCCTCAGGGCTCTACTTGCCCTGGACCTCCGGAACCATTAGACAAAATGAAGCTCTTTAAAACTGGCCCAGTCAATGATATTGTCTTACTAGCAATAGAAAATGGATGAATACACTGTCCTAATCATCTCTGAATCGTAGTACATAGCAGATACTCATTTAAAAATAGGTGTCTCTGACTATAAAATATCAGTAGTTTGTGACACTCACTCATACCAAAATATTTTTAAACTCAATAAAAATATTTCATACTTTCAATTTCATGATTCCTGTAATATTGCTGTTTTGGTGGGCAAATAAGGATTGGTAAGAACTAACTCATTGAATACATCAAATACAGATGAACTAAAACTGCTAAAACTGCAATGGCCATGAACCTAAGACCTCAAACTATACTACTAGTACAAAAATTAAGAGTGGTTTATTTCCCATAGTAATTATACACACATCAATCCATACCTGATTTCTCTGTTTTTCTACTTCATCTTCGGACATGCAGTTTGACAAAATCTCAGACCATTCCAGGCGCTCCTCAGGTGTCCTCAATGAAAGACTATCAAATATTTCAAAGTAAAGCCATGCTAGATCCTTGGCCAACTGGAGCTTCCCACATGCAATGTGCCTCCATGTAGACCAGTACAGGCGTGGGTAAGCTCCCTCTGTGGCCCGGGTTCGCACGTAAGTAGATATCTTCCTGAGATAGTGAAGACTGAACTTGGATGGCGGGGGGACCTGCAAGGCACCCACTATAAAGGGTTCTGCTTTTACCCAGAGGAGAACTCCGGACTGATCCATATTATCGATAAGGACATCTGGTTGAAAAGGCTTCTTTGCATACCTAAGAAACAAAGTTTCTTCACAGACTTGAAACAAATCTCATTTATACATTTTCCTGTAAGGTAACCCTTCTTTGATTTTATAAGTGTACTATACCATCAGTTTAAAAAGCAACTCTAGTTTGTCAACCAAAAGCAAAATAAGATTTTTGGCCAGATCTCACTACAGTCTAATTGAGAAAAAAATTCTTCTCTGACTTGTTGGAAATTATTGTTTCAGTAGACTGTGAAAATGCATAAAGTCTGGGCTGGATCCCTCCTCAGAGCAGAAAAAAAAAGGAGGAAATGGTGTGGAGTGTAAGTCATCCTGTCACAGGAAACTATTTTCTACTTTGAGGTTAAATGCTAGTAGAAACAGTGGAGTAAAATTTCATAGTTAAATTACTTACACATAGAGGATGATTAGTTAAAGATTTAGACTTGTGGGCTAACCATACAGGATCAATATGAAACAGTAATATGAGGTGGCAGACAAGAATGTTAATGTAAACACAGACTGTAAAATAGATTAAGGGAACTTAATGCATCTTTATTCTCTGTTCACAGTGAGCTTACTCTGATATATTTTATTGTGCTTCATTCAGGTGTAGTATTTTTATATTTCGCTTATTGTTTCTTTCTTATACGTAACAGTGGTAAATGATTTTATAGAATATCTATAAAACAAGTAGAAGGGGGGAATTATCCACATTCTCACCACTAAATAGCATTTAGTTAATATTCTGTTGTAATTCCTTCTTGTCTTTTTTCTATATAGATTGGATGCTAGTTTGCTTTTGAATTTTCACAGTTATAACAATATTACATACAATTCTGTATTATTTTAAAAAGCTTCATAACATTCTAAATGTACTCCAATTTACTTTTAGACACTAATTTAAAAATTTTCTTAAATACAAGACAGGTAAAATACTGATCACTGTTGATGTGTGATGGGTACAGGGGAGCTCATTTACCTAATCTTGTGTATCTTAAAACTTTAATTACAAAAAGTTCAAATGTTTTCACTATTATAATGCTCTGATTGCCATCTTTCTGAATATTTTATGCATTATAAATTATTTCCCAGATCTTCAGGGGTGCATTTGTGAAATGAAGTAACTGACATTTCTGAAGCTCATGACATATACTCCCATTGTTTTCCAGAATGACTTTATTAAAACGGCACCATCATTTGACCAAGGTACCCACTTCACCGAGCACTCCTCAGCATTAACATCATTTTAAACAATCTTTCCTTATGGTTGATGAAGAATGTTTATTATATTTTGTATTTGATCTAGAAAGTTGTAACTAGCATCGAGTGGTTACTATGCTCCAGACAGCATGCTAAATATTTTGCATCTCCACAAGCACCTACATGATCTCCCTCATTTTCAGACATGAAAACTGAGGTTTAGAGAAGGGACTTACCTAAGGTCATATGCTTAGTTGGCGCAGCCCTGGTTTAGGATTCTTGTTTGGCTTGAGAACTGCATCGCTTACAAATATCCTTTGGAAACTCTGAAAAAAGGAGTGAGTCCAGAACAGAAGGAAAAGCCTTAAGATGAGGCCATTCAAGCGCAAGTGAAGGAATATGGGAAGGCGAACTAGAATGAGGGGCGTATTAGGGTGAATGGCAGCTATTTTTCACTGCAGGAATGGCTGGGGGATCTGCTGGTGATGAAGGCTCATCAGAAAGACCTTAGTTCTCTCCAAAATGAAAACAGGCTGCCTGTGAGGTCCCAAACTCTTTTTTTCTCTGAAGTGGGCAATTATAACGCCAGGTCCTGAGATGAACCCTTATTCTAACTCTAACACTCACCAGGGATAGATTCGTAAACATAAATCGGGGCTCCTTCCCTCGGGAAGCGCTGGGGTCAGGGTTTTTCTGGTCGGGAAGGGCACGGCCCAAAGCGCTCTTCCTGAGGCTTCGCCGCCATCTCCGCGGCGTTCCGGGTTAGGATGCGGCACTGGCCGTCCAAGAACCCCCACTGGACTTCGGGAACACCGACGCCCCAGCTGACAGGATTCGTGGCGGACCGTAGACTCGGTCAGGTTTACAGCAGCCTCCCGCGCCGAGCCTGAAGCCTGACAGGCCCACCCTACCCTCCCTAGCGTCTGCCAGCGCAATTACCTGCCAAGGGAGACGCGCCCGGCCGCACCTACCCCGCGCCCCGCGCCCCGCGCCCACCGCGCAAGCGCGAGGCTCGCACCACCGAGACGCGGCGGACCGCGTTGCTAGAGCGGCGCGTTGCTCCGCCAACGCCCGCGACGCGCTCTGCAGAGGCGGAGTCCGGAACGCTGAGAAGCCCAGCCAGACACCTTTCCGCAAGCCGCGCCTTTCAATCCAGGGAAGTAGATTTCTGTTGCACCACAGAACCGTGGTCAGCCCCTAGCTGCTGGTAAGGTGAGCACGCTGTGGCAGGTAACGATGATGATGGCAGTTTATTTACGCTTATGGAGCGCTGGCTATGGTCTGGGCAGCGAGCAAAGCACCTTTATTGTATTCGCTCAGCTACCAAGAGCCCTCGCAAGTTAAGCACGTTTAATGTTTTACTGATGGGGAAACGAGGCGAGTAAACCTAACAAACCCCTGGCCGCGTGACCTCTCCCGCACTTCGGCCCCCCAGCCTTAGTTCCTCAACTGTTAACTTTCCAGCCATATGACAGCCTTTTAAAAAAGGAAACTTTTTAGATTCCACCCAGAAGACACCACTCCTTTCTTTAAACTTCCGTTTCATGATTTCTGAACATTTCCGCTTTCTGAGTTACTTCATGGCCTCTCTAGGTGAGACAGATGAAAAGGTAAAAGTAGATCATGAAATGCAACGTTCCTTTTTAGGTGGCCTCTCTCCCTACTAGGCATCTTTCTGAAAGCAGTATCTTCAGATGTAAACAGACCTACGTCAGATCCAGGCCAAATCATCTACAGTTTCAGTGACTTTTTGTTGTTGGTGGTGAAGTACTAGGGAATCGAACCCAGGGGCTCCTGCATGCCAGGAGAGCTGAGCCCCCCCCCCCCCGCCAGCCTATGCCTTCGTTTTCTGCAACAGCAAGTATCACTTGAGCGCCACTGGCCGTCTCACACAATGCTAGGCACTAGGGTTTACAAGATTAAACAAGAGATAAGGTCCTTGCTTTCTTGGAGTGTATAATTAATAGGGAAAATAGATAATACATATTAAGAAATAATTTCAGATAGTAACAAATGCTACTGAGGATGGGGAGGAGAGGCCAGGGAAGGCCACTTTATAGTACTGATTTTGAGCTGAGGCCTGAAGACTAAGAAGCCACCTATAGGAAGATCACTGTCAGAGCAACTTTCACTCAAAAACATTTGGGCACCACTGGCCCAGGCACTGCTCTAAGACGCTATTCTATACAGTGGCAAATGAAACAGTCTAGATTCATGGTCGCAAGAAAATGGCATTTTCAGCCTATGAGAGTGTGGAGGGCAGGGATGGAAACAAAACAGGGCGGTGTAAGAGTAAGGGACTCAGTAGGAGCTAATTTTGATTGGTTGGTCAGGGAGGTCTCTGAAGTGGCGACATTCAAGCTGATATCCGAGTTTTCAAAAGAAGTCACCCACGTTCGGGTGGGAACAATGTTTCAGGGAGCAGAAACTGCTAGTACAAAGGCCCCAGGCAGGAAGGCGCCTGGTGTATTCAAAACAAGAGAAAGTAAGCCGGTTTTTCTGGAAAATAGTAAGGTGTTTAATAGGTGAGGTTACAGATCATAATAAGGCTTTCTAAGTTATCATAGAAACAAGTATCGTAGAAATAAGTACAACGAAAAGCCATTCGAGTCTGATTTTCAGCAGGCCTTGACATTTTTTTAAAAACATAGGGCTAGGGAGGGTATATTAAAATATCGCATTAAGATATTAAGAATGGGGCTAGAGCATGGCTCAGGTGGTAGAGCGTTTGCCAAGTATGAGAGAGGCCCTGAATTCGACCCCCGGTACCGCCAAAAAAAAAAAAACCTTCACAAGATATTAGCAATGGAGGCAGAGGCATCAGTTAGGCCTTTGCCAGGTAAGAGATGATGTGGCTTGGCCAATAGACGTAGTAACTGCGATGTAGACGTACAGATTCAAGATACAATTAGCGGCAACGATTTGGGTACGTTATACAGGAGGAAGGAAGACATCGTGAGTTGGTGGGGTGTTTACCGTGGTGAGCAAAACGGGGGGCAGGACGGAGAATCAGACCTCTGCTCGGAACTGTAAGAACAGTTTTTATTCACTGGGTGCTTACTCTGTGCCACTGTGCTAGACAAGTTACAGAATTTTCCCCATTAAGGATTCACAGCGCTGCCAGTAAGTGCTTTGCCTTAGTTTTGTTAATAAAAAGACAGCTCGGACTTGGGGCTGGGGAAAAGGGGTCTCACCGCTGTGAAGTGCTGAAAGCCGAATCTGAACTTAAGTCGTGAGTCTCCACGGTCGTCTCTCTGTAAAGTACTAGGCTTCTTTTCTATGAAACCGAGACGGTTTTCTTGTAAGACTCTCAGGATGCTGCGAAATAAGGTTTCCTAAGCGGTGCGTCCCAGGTACTTTTGGTGCGGAGTTAACTGTGGCACTAGTACGTCAGTTTTCACTTCACTACGGTGCGCGCGCGCGCGCATTCCACACAGTGGAATTTCGGGATTTGTAAGCAAGATAAAAATCTCCCTCCCGCAATTGGTCGGTGCTAGTTGAGATGCCTTGTGATTGGTGGAAATTCCAAGGAGGTGGGCGAGGAGTGGGGTTTGGTGCGTCTCAGACGCCCTAGCTGGGCACTACTCTCGGTCTTTTACGTAATTTTGTACGACTCGCAGGAGTCCGGGTAGCGGGGCTTCCTGTGGCGGCGCGACCCTCTGACGTTTCATTTTCTAATTGGTCAGGAGCTACGGCTGCAGTTCCGCAGCCTAACTGGTTGCCCGTGCCGCCTCTGAGGTGAAGTGTACGGCGCTGATTGGCTCCGAGGTGCCGGCCTCGTGTGATGTCCGAGGCAGCGATTGGCCCTCGCTTGCTAGGGGCTTCTCTCACCGGGACTGGGGACTCCCGGGAAGTGGACAGTCAGAGGAGGGGGCATCCTACCTGTTTCTGCGGACTAAGTAGGAGACCCCCGACGTGAGGCGGCCTCACTGGGCCAGAAGAGCTGGCCAGCCAACCCGGCGGCGGAGGAGGCTGTAAAGAGTGTGTGGGACTGGCACCGGCACAGGCACAGGCACAGGCACAGAGGAAGTATGGCCCCGCAGAACCTGAGCACCTTCTGCCTGTTGCTGCTGTACCTCATCGGGACCGTAATTGCCGGGTGAGGAAAAGGCAGTTTCCTTCTCTGGGAAGGAGGCAGGGTGGGCGCCGAGCAAGGGGAGGTGAGGGAGCAGCGTGGCCACCCCGAAGGAGTGAAGGAGGATCTGACTGAGGTGCGGCGGTGGGACGGGGACTGGGTAGTGCGGGTCAGTCTCTGGGGTGTGAAGGCAGCCGGGGTGACACCGTGAGAGGACCTTACATCCAGAGACCCTAGAGCCATTTCCCAGAAGAGTGGCGGTTGAGGGGAAGGAGGAGAGGACCGGGGCGCCTGGCCGTCATGAGGATAGAGAGGCAGCCGTGGTGGAGGTGGGGGACCACCTTGGGTCGCAGGGGGGTCGCTTGGTGCTGAGCACTGCCGACCTGCGACCAGCCGTTGGGGCTGGCATCCAAGTGGACGGTTCTCGGTGCAGGTCCACTGCGGAGAGGGTAGAGAGCCAGGCTGGGGCTGGCGGTAACCGGATTGAGGGTGCATCAACCAGCCTCCCGAGCCTAGCCTGTCGTCCTGCCTCACTGTCTCTCTCCATGGTGCCTTCTTGAAAAGTGGACTTCATGAGTGGGAAGAGCGGGTCCCAGCAGGTAGTAAACGGGGATTCCGGGCCGGTCCTCACCCTCCACCCTCCATCAATCATGTAGCCTTGAAGGAGCCTTGTAAACTCTCACGTAAAACATGGGGGTGATCTTGTGACACCCTGATGCAGGGAGTGCAAGCAGATGACTCTTGAAAACGGTTCTTTCGATGATCCTACAGTCCTGGTGACCTAGGATGTGGTACGGCCGGCTTGCGCTTTAGAACGCAGGAAATACAGGTCTCTACATCCGACAGTGCATAGGTTGTCTAAATGGGAAGGTGCTACCTAACAAAGTTTCAAGATCTAAGAACTCATTCTCTTGAAAGTTTTTTGCCCTTTACATATTTGCTTAAACTCTGTTGTAATTTTTTCCTGTGAAACATCTTTAATTTCTAAAAAGTTAACATCTCCTGGATAATGCCTTGTTTTTTCTTAGTATGCTTTTTTACTATTATTCACACTTAAAGCCAAAATACCCTAATGTGTTTAATAAATCCTCAATACAAATATTTTTAATTCTATAGCTATTTGTAAAAGAGTTTCTTAATGTTGATGCTCAGCTATGCAAATCATCTTTTCTCTGCATCTTTCTAAGGTGTCACTTAATGATTTGCGGGTTTTTTTCTGGGTGGGGGGGTGGACTGGGGTTTGAACTCAGGGCATTGCACTTGCAAAGCAGGTACTCTGCTGCTTGAGCCAGGCCTCCAGTCCATTTTACTCTGGTTATTTTGGAGATGGGGATCCCAAACTATTTGCTCAGGCTGGCCTCCAACTTCAGTCTTCCCAATCTCAGCCTCCCATGTAGCAAGGATTACAGGCATGCACCACCAGTGCTCGGCTACTTAACCATTTTTGTGTGAACCTTTCTCAAAAGATGTCAAGACTTTACAGATTTGGGGAGAGGGAATAGAAAGGTCCTATTTTATACTTATGAAATTCCCATCAGTGATAAATGTTTAAAAACCTGGTACATGAAATAATTTTTTTCTATGGTGTGACTAAAAGGTCATAAAATAATTTTTAAATAATCTGTCATATATCCATGTGGGTCTTGGTACCCTAATGTATCTTTCCCGATACATTTTAAAATTACCATCTCTACTAAATCATTGTCTCTGTTGTGTATCTTTCCTATCCCCATTATTAAGAGAATACATTTTCAGAATAAATTCAGATGACTAAAATTACTCTGGTAAGAGGAACAGATTTGTGTGAGTGTTCTTATTTATTTATTCATTCATTCAGTGAAATTTTCAATGGCTGAATATGGTTCCTGCCTGAAAATTTACTATAGTCTTATTCTGACTCCCCATTACCACTTCTTGCAGAGATGCCCTTTATTATTAATTTGATTCCAGCATAGACCCTGGCAAGGAGTTAAGGAATCTCTTATTGTTTGGGCTTTGCTTAATCTTCATTTTAACCTCTGAAGTTAACTTCAGTCATTTTTAATGTTCCGAAATGCTACTATTAGGACATTTACGTGACATAATCTTTTTGAATAAAGAAAACTGTCATTTGAGGTTGTTATTTGACCTTTGGCAACAGCCAAAAGTCATTCAGAGTCAGAATAGGGAAAAGGGGAAGAGTAATTAGATTATATGGTTACAAATTCTGGTATACTCCCTTTTAGTCATTCTTTGTATGCGTGTGCATTTGTTACATATACTCCATTTTGTGCTTCTTTGCCCAGACACAGACCTAAATGGTAAAGGGCGAAGTCTCTTTCACTTTTAAATGTAATGTGTAACTCTAATGAAGTATTCTCCTCTCCCTTCCCAGGCGCGATTTCTACAAGATCTTGGGGGTGCCTCGCAGTGCCTCTATAAAGGATATTAAAAAAGCCTATAGGAAACTAGCCCTGCAGCTTCACCCTGACCGAAACCCTGATGATCCCCAAGCCCAAGAGAAATTCCAGGATCTGGGTGCTGCTTATGAAGTAAGTTGAGAAAAGGGAGAAAGTATGAACAAAACCTGTGGGACTGTAAAGAAGAACATATAATTTAGAGACACTCCCTTCAGATCCACTTCTATTTAGAAAAAGATAATAGGTAAAAGTGAAAATAGTACTTGCTGCTGTATTGTACTAGATATTACATTCATGTCAGTAGATTCCATTTCCTGCATTTTCATATGTATATTATTAAGGGAAGTAATGTTGAAAGGGATGAATGAAAGAGGATTGGTACATTAATAAGTAGATTAACTGATTGATCTATCAGTTCATCATTTTAGGAAATAGAGCCAGAGATACAACCAAAACCTAAGAAGGTCTGCAAATCTATGTGCCCTGTGATCCAGACTAATAACAAGCAGGAATATAGGATAAAACCTGGCTATATATTCTGCCTCCATAATGGGAATTGATAGAGATTGATAAAGACTGACAAGCTGAAGGTTTCTTGACTTTTTTCAAGGGAGCAGATGTTATTTGACTCCAGCCAGTTTTTGTCATGTACAAATACAAACACTGTGTTGACAAATGATCTGATTTTTCTTTCTTTCTTTTTTTTTTTTTTGGCTGGGGCTGAGGCTTGAACTCTGGGCTTTGCACTTGAAAACCAGGTGTTCTACCACATGAGCCACACCTCCAGTCCCTGATCTAATTTTTCAAAAGAAGTTGGAATTACAGATTTTTAATATAAATTCTCCTGATTGTGCGAGTTTTGATAACTAATTCAATTAAATTCTTTTTTATGCAGATCAAGCAAAACTCAGCTATAATTCAAATTTACAATCTCTAATCTAGCTCATGGAGTTGCTCCAGCAGTAAAAGCACCTGCCTAGCAAGTGCGAGGCACTGACCCAGTGCTGCCAAAAAACAAAAAAAGAAAAAAAGAAAAAGCAGTTCCTACAATCTGTAATCTATAGGTGGCATGTGTAGTAGTACAAAGAACGAAAGGAAGGGATCTCAGATGTCCTAAAGAAGTTATTGAACTGATACAGGGTTTTATATCCAGGTGAGCTCTAGAGCTGTTGGGGTGCTCCTTCGCTGTACACCTTCAGGGATCCTACAGGACAGAAATTCTTAACCTGGTCCATAAATAAACTTGAGAGTGTAGATAGTTCATGTTAAATTATATGTAATATTTTCTCTCTTGTTGATTATATGAATTCTTTTTCCTATGATTAGACCTATTTTTGCTAAAAACCCAATATTTTCTAGGGAGGTTAAATTTACAGTGCTTTGCAAACAATCTCCTATATTCTTTTTTTTTGGTTTTGGTTTTGGTTTTGGTATAGGGGTTTGAGCTCAGGACCTGGTGGTTGTTAGGCAGGTGCTTTACCACTTGATCCACACCCTTTCTCTTTTGTGCTTTACTTTTGAAGTAGGGTTGGTCTTCTTTGCTTAGGGCTGCAATCCTGATCTCCACCTCCCAAGTAGCTGGGATTATAGGCGTGAGCTATTATGCAATATTCCTAGGAATATGGAAGGCAGGCTATTCATACTCTTTTATGAACTTGCAGTTCATTTAACTCTAACAACTTTCTAGTCACTAGTTCAGATTTTTTTTTTCTTTGTATCATTCAGGCTTGACTACCTTTCACCCTAGGAGAATGATTGTTCACAAATCAGAATTAGCAAATACAAATTTGTTTCCCCTACTGAGCTGGGATTACTGCTGGCATATTAATTTGGTGAGAATCTGCATGTTGATTGGCCAATTACCTAAGAACCTTTTTTTTTTTGTCTTTTAAAAATAAAATAGGCTAGATGCGGTAGCATGCATCTGTAGTCCCATATCACTTGAGGCCAGGGATGGTAGCCAGCCTGAACAACCTAACAAGACCTGGTCTCAAAACCAAAAATAAGTAAAATAGTTTTTAAGATCATGGAATAAAAGTGCATTCCTTAAACAAGAAAAGTGAAGAGGAGTGGCTTTACAGGCAGTTTTTTTGGAGATTATTATAGAAGTCTCTGCTGTCGAAGAAAAGAAAAGAAAATGACTTAAAGGTAGTCTTTGAAGGTTTTGAATTTTGTGGTTTTTTTTTTTTTTTTCAGGTGCTGGGGTTTGAACTCAGGGCCTCCACCTTGAGCCATTCCACCAGCCCTTTTTATTTTTGTGATTCTTTTTCAAGATAGGGTCTCTTGAACTATTTGCCTCAGCTGGCTTCAAACCAAGATCCTCCTGATCTCTGCTTCCTGAGTAGCCAGGATTACAGGCATAAGCCACCAGTGCTTGGCATGAAATGGTATTTTTTTATAGATCCAAATTTAAATCTCATTTATTTGATTAGACAAGATCAGAGAAGTAGACCTAAAAACGAAATTAATCAGGAATCCTGATTGTGTAAAGTAAGAGTTTTTTGTTTGTTTTTACATCAACTCTGCCTATTTTTACTTACCCAAAGTACTTATTTTCTAAGGATACTTGCCAAAGTATTCCTTTCTCTCACCTGATCTATCATAGTGACTTTACTGTAGTGGTACTGTGCTTACTTCTGAACTAATCCATTTTTCTTTGCTTTTAAGAATGCTTATTTTCTTGTACATTCAATTTCTATTATTAATCTTAAAGGTATCTTAAATGTTTATAAGTGTTTCCATTGCCCCTTATATATCATTCAGGCCTGAGCCAAAAGTGTGTCCTGTTTGAATGTGCCCATCAGTCTCCCCCCACCTTTTTTTTTGTCTAAGTTAACAGCCCCATCTTTGAGCCTTTCTTTAGGCCATCATGAATATGAGTGTGAAATAACTTTCTCCTTCAATTTCTTGTCTAGGTAGGAGTTATACATATCAAAGGAAGATTTTAAAGCTATTTAATTTTCAAAGGTATATGTGTACTTATACTTCAGGTTGCTGTAAATAAAAGGAAAGCCTTTTTTTTCCCACATTGAACAAATTTTGAAGAGCATTCAAACTTGTTTTGTCTTTGTATTCTTTGGTATCATATAGAGAATGGGCTCAGTAAGAAAGCATATAGCCAAGACTGTGTTCTCTGAAACCACTAAAACTTCAAAAACATCTTCTAAAGCAGTGAGACTGACCTTAGCGGGCTGGTGGAGTGGCTCAAGTGGTAGAGTGCCTGCCTAGCAAATGTGAGGCCCTGAGTTCAAACTCTCGTACCGCCAAAAAAAAAACAAAAACAAAAACAAAGAAACTGACCTTAGCAACCTTCATAGGATAATGTCCCTTATTACTCTACCTCTCTATTTTCTACAAATGCATTTCTACATATACCAAAGCATGAAGAAAAGGGAATGAAAAATACAACAATATAGATCTCATGGGGCCTATCATCCTATTCCCATGACTTGTCAATCTCCTCATGTATGTGTGTTGGGGCAGTAGTAGATGAGGTAGGTATGTGGGGCCACCTATTTTTAAGGCTGCCCTAATTTGGTGCTTTTATCACTAATGACAATCTTGTCTTAGTTATATCCTAGTTTATAATTTAGAAAGATAATACGGCATTAACAGCATAATCACTGGAGTTAAACTGACTAGTAAACCTTAACAATCCATCTTGCCTCTTTGCTGGTACTTTCCCAACCTTTACAGCCACATTGCTCAAATATGACTTTTAAGTTACTAAGTAAGATTTGATGACTTTAAGTCAAAAATGTGAATTAAGCAATGTGGAATGGACACTGCACCAAAAAGTTTAGTTTGTTAAAGAAAACTTTTTAAACATGCCTTAGTAACATACACAATGAAGACTACATTCCCCTGAAATCTTAGACATCGTTTCAGAGTAAGAAAACAACCATAAATAGGAAAGAACCTTAACTGACTGTTACCAAGTATGCTCTTCCTCCCCTGGCTTTTATCCCCAGGTTCTGTCAGATAGTGAAAAACGGAAACAATATGATACTTACGGTGAAGAAGGATTAAAAGATGGCCACCAGAGCTCCCATGGAGACATTTTTTCACAGTAAGTAAATTACCCATCTGTAAACCATTAGTATCTGAGAATGAATCACTTAGTGATTTAATGAGCAAAATTCTTCTAAGCAGAAAGAAGGTAAGAAATTTCTACTCCTGTACCCAGAGCTAGCTCTCTTTCATCCTGTCAATAAGAGAGGAATGGTTATAATAACCACTATTAGGGTAGAGACTTTTTATCTCCTGCTACACATTGCTTTCTGGGAGTACCGGAATAATAAACATCTCCTTCCTCATTCTTTGAACCCCTCTTGTTGACATTTGAATCTCCATATACCATACTGTCACGTAGTAAAAGATCTAATCTGGGATTCAGACCCAAAGTTACAACCAAAAAAAGTCTGAGTCTGCATTTTCATGGGGAGAGAGTTTACTATTTTCTTGAGATTCTCAGAAGGTTCTGTGAACCCTTCCCCAAAAGAAGAATCACTATTGCTTATAGTAACTTTACCTGTTTAGTGTTTGGGGGTAACAGTAGACTTTTAGGATTTGTAAAGATGCATGAATAATATGATTGAGGTATTTTCCTCTTCCCCAGGATTAATTTGGTTATTTTAGCCTACTACGGAAGTTTCTGTTCCTTTGACTGTTCAAAGTGATACTGAGGGATGTCAGAAAGAGAAGGTTCCCCATCCTTACCCTGTCCATCTCCTTGCTTTAAAGGTTCAGGAATATATTCACCAGAGTTGGTTGGTAGAAAGGGAGTTATATGGTTGTTGTCATCACTGTATTAATATCTGTGGCTTCTTAATTACAGCAAAAAATAGCATTAAGGTTAAAACACCTGCACAATTCAAAGTCACTGTTTTTATTAATCTCAAAGTGATTCTTTTGTTTCTTATAAAAATTAATTTTGATCTTATAGAGACCAGAACTTACTTTTATTTAAGGACTAAAATTTTACTAAGGCTGATGGTGCTTTTTTAGCTTATTTAAATATGTGCCAAGATTTTTGTACAGAGTGTTAATCATGATGACATGTACCTCAGCATTCAGAAGGATGATCATGAAATTCAAGGCTAGCCTGGGCTGCATAGTGAGGCCCTGTCTCATAAAACCAAAAAGTACATAAAGTGAGCATACAAACACATGTAGTATGCTCAAAATTACCCTTGAAATTCCTTAAATTAACCACTAAGTTTAGTATTATACAGGTTTATATACACTATGTTCCTTTCAATAAGTCCATCCTATTGAGATTTACCTCATTATTGAAACAGATAATTACTTCATTGGTTGAGTTGAATTCATTGGCATACTGTATGTGTATGTGCTGTACTCTGTGTATAAACCATATTGTATTAAACTAAAAGTAAATTTTTTTGTAGTGGGTGTCAATATAGTTGCAATGTATTTGATATTACATAAATTTAAATTGTATATGATCTTTGACTATAGCGTATTTAAAACTCAGTTTTGCACAATGCTTTAATGCGAAGTAATATTTTATCAATGTAAAGAAAAGTAAATAAACTCAGATTTCTTTTCTTGATGAATTTGCACTTATCTGTAGCTTCTTTGGAGATTTTGGTTTCATGTTTGGAGGAACCCCTCGTCAGCAAGACAGAAATATTCCAAGAGGAAGTGATATTATTGTAGATCTAGAAGTCACTTTGGAAGAAGTATATGCAGGAAATTTTGTGGAAGTAAGTTCAAAAATACAGCTGTTCATATTGACCTCCAGAACTTGTACTTTTGACTAAAAATGAGAGGTTTTAGTATACCTTCTCTGTCTTTTAGAGAATGAGGAGGAATGACTGATGCATAGAGTTGAATTAATGCTATTCCTTAGTTCATGGTACACTGTTGTCATTGTTTTATAAACTAAACTCACTACCTAACCCTACAACTAAAAAAATAGTACCATGACTTAATGTACCTACATCTACTTCCGTATTCTATCCCCCTGCTTCTCTTCAGAGATAACGTTTACATGAATTTTGTCTTTATTATTCCTTTGCCATTAAGTAATAAAATAATCATATATTTTATTACATTTATATATGAATACCTGAAGAGTATATTACTTATTTTTATTGTTTTTGAATTTGTAAAAATGGCATATTGTTCATTACATTTTGGACTGGCTTTTGTCAGTCACTATTATTTTACTGGGATTCATTCTTATTGTTTATAGCTATTATGCTAGATAAAATTTCATTGTGATCATAATTTATCACTGGCATTTAGGTTTTTTCCAGGTTTTTTCAAAATTCCAATCATCTTGTACATGATAATTCATGTACCTACTCTAGTACACATGAGCAAGAATATCTCTTGGGTGGATATATTTAAGAATAAAATTGCTGGGAATATGAACCAGTGTTTCTATTTTACAAGATAATACCATATTATTTTTGAAATTGATTGTACCAGTACTTCCACTAACAATTTATGAAACTTTAGATTTGCTGCCTCTGTAACATTTGGAATTACTAGACTTCTCAATTTTTGCCTATCAAATAAGTATAAATTACTACTTTGGTATAGTCATGTTTCTACGTCTTGTGGGGGTTTTGGTTTTTTGGCAGTATTAGGGTTTTTAACTCAGGGCCTCCTACTTGCTAGATAGGTGCTCTGCCACTTGAGCCACACCTGCCAGTCCTTTTTTGCTTTAGTTATTTTTTAGGTAGGGTCCCTTTTTTGCCTGGGGCCAGTTTCAGACTGCAATCCTCCTATCTATGGCCTCCCACTTAGCTGGAACCACAGGTGTGCACTATGACACCCAGCTTATGGATTGAGAACGGGGGGGGGGTCTTGCTAACTTTTTGTCTAGGCTGGCCTCAAACTGCTATCCTCCCTATCTCAGCCTTCCAAGTAGCTGGGATTATAGGCACAAGCCATGGTGCTGTAGTCTTGTGTTTCTTTCCAATTAGGATAAGCATTTCTTCGTGTTTATTGGCCATATTTGTTTCCTCTCGTGTGGAGTTTCCATTCATGTCTTTTATCCTCCTCTCTTTTGTTCGTATTGATTTCTAAGAATACTTCATTCTACTACTAGTTCTTTGTGAGCAGAAATACAAATATATCCTATATATTCCATCAATTTGTAAGTTGTTTCATTATATTTTAAGATTTATTTCAATGAACAAAAATAACTAGTTTGGGGTGGTGGTTTTTGGTTTTGATTATACTGGGATTTTGGACTCAGGGCCTCACATTTGCTAGACAGCTTATCTACCACTTGAGCTACTCCCCCAGCCCAAAGTATTAAGTTTAATTGTCAAATCTATCAGTTGTTTATGGTTAGTTTTTGTGTCTTTTAATATGAAGTTATTCATACTTTTTTACATTCTGGAATGGACTTTGAAGCTAAACTGCCTACTTTCAAATCCTGGCTCTGCCATATATTAGCAATATGGTCTTGGTCATTTTACTTAATCTTTTTGTGCTACTGTTACCTTACCTATAAAATAAAGATAATAGCATGATCTACCTCATAAATTGTGACGATTAAATGAATATGTAAATGTCTAAAGTAGTAGGAGCATTGCTTGGCAGGTAGTAAATGCTGTAAGTTTGCTCACTATATCATTTTTGCTGTAATTTATGATGTTGCCTTGGGCTTTCATATGTTGGTAGACTAAGGAATTTTTCTCCGAGATTCTTGTCACTCCTTAGCATGAGCATGTTACCCTGCAATTGGGCAAAAACAGGAATTTATATATATATATATTAATTTCACATACTTAGAAGAATCAGATGTTTGATGTTTGATTACAGTCAGCTGCAAAGAGATGGTCATTGTCTTTTCCTAGCTGTTAAAGTGTCTGAATGGTGATAGCACTGGGAAGTAGTCCTGGATTGTGTTGCCTGAAACAACAAGGTGTTTTCCTTAAATTAGTCATAGGATTAGATGGGGTAACTACATATCAGAGTTTAAATGCTGTGGTTGTTCTTTACAGTGATGTGTTTTGCAATTCAGATTTGTTAGACAATAATAATTCTATGAACTACTTTAACTCAGTAGCACTTAGCTGTTGCTTAGAAATGCTGGTATTATACCCCTTATTTTTTCAGTTCCCTTCTTACTCCTCTCTTTTTACTGCTCCTAATTTAGAATTGGAGTCATTTAAGTGTGTATTTGCTTCATTTTTGTTTGGGAGGTGATTTGTTCTTCCCAAAGCATTCTGTTACTTTAGGTTTCCCTAGGGGGATAGTTTGCTGGAGAAGGTGAAGTTCTGAGCAGGCATGTGTGCAGAGCTCCAATTGATTGAAGAGTCTAAAGGCTATTTTATGCACTTCTCAGGTAGTTAGAAATAAGCCTGTGGCCAGGCAGGCCCCTGGGAAACGGAAATGCAACTGTCGGCAGGAGATGCGGACCACACAGCTGGGCCCAGGGCGCTTCCAGATGACCCAGGAAGTGGTCTGTGATGAGTGCCCTAATGTCAAGTAAGTGAAAGCATGCCCATGGACCCACCAAGAAACACTTGACTTCTTACTTGTCTAACAAAATTCTTACCATCCACACCTAGCTCTCCCTTCCTAACTCGACCAGTTCCACCAAAGGATAGAGCATTTTAATTTTTTTTCTGAAGTATTTTTTCTTAAATTCTCCTTTTATATTTCTGACCTAATAATCAGTGCTCTTTGTTTCTGAATATACTTGACAAACATTAATGTTTCATTTTGTTCCTATGTGGACTATTAGAGTAATCTTATATATAGTAACTCTGCCCTGAATTTTGACATATAGAAGATATAAACAGATCGCAAATAACTTTGTCAAATAGAAGCGCACTATCATCTTTATTATATATATCTTAGGTTTCATTTGCATTTTCTTTTTTTAATTCCTTTTGTTTCAGACTAGTGAATGAAGAACGAACGCTAGAAGTAGAAATAGAACCTGGGGTGAGAGATGGCATGGAGTACCCCTTTATTGGAGAAGGTGAAATGTTGATGTTTTTTGTTATCATAATCTATTCTGCTTGTTTATGAACCACCTCTGCCTCATCCCATATCTTAATGGCTACACAATAAGTGAATATATAATTTCTAATACTCTTCAGCCAGTGTTAGGATACAGAAAGACTTTTATACAGCATTATTTTTCACCCAGATTAGCATTGCTGTTTGTTCGTTGAATATCATGGCCAAGAGCTACTATCAGGTAGCATAAGTTTTATCAAAGTGTAGGGTATTCAGGCTTTAGTGTATAAATTTTAACTTAGCAAGGAAAGAAAATATGTGACTCTAATTAGGACATTAATAAAATGCTCTCAGACCTTACCTTTGAACTTAAATTTATAACTCTAAAAAGAAATTAGCTTTAACACTTCAGATGCAGAAAACCAGTGAATCATTCTTTTTTTAGGAAATAGGCCAAGTAATTTATTGCTGTGCCTGAAGCACAGGTGACGTTCACTCATAATCTGAAACTTGGTATAAGCAGGCAGAGACACTGTCCTCATAGATAGACTTAATAGAATCAATGCCTAAGGTAGTAGTTTTTAAAAATTCTCTCAAATGCCAAGTAGAGTTTTGGTGTTCACCTTGTATGATTTCTTATATTCTGTAATCTTCTCTGGTCAGGTGAGCCTCACGTGGATGGAGAGCCTGGAGACTTACGGTTCCGAATCAAAGTCGTCAAGTAAATAATCAAATTTTAGAAACCATCTCTTTAGCTCTGCTTTCAGATGAGTCAGATGATAGAGATAATGCATACAGACCTTTTCTCTGTCTCATGCCCTCGTACTATAACCATTTATTTGAAACAGCAACAATAATGAAAGTTTGGGATTGAGCCCCTAGGATAAGCCATAGTTATTTATTTACTTAGCACTTAAAATTCAGAAGATGTTGGAAGGAAAGAACCAATAATAAATGTAAAGAACTGGAGTGGCTCAAGTGATAGAGCACCTGTCCCACAAGTACAAGACCCTGAGTTCAACTCCTAGTACACCAAAAAAAAAAAAAGGAACTGTGAAAGAGAGACAAATTTGAATAGGGAATCAAGGAGAGATATGATTTTAGCTAACTATGGCACCATTCAAGAATGGAGTCTGGCCAGGCACCGGTGGCTCACACCTGTAATCCTAGCTACTCAGGAGGCAGAGATCAGGAGGATCGTGGTTCAAAGCCAGCCTGGGCAAATAGTTTGCAAGACCCAATCTCAAAATACCCATGAAAAGGGCTGGCAGAATGGCTCAAAGTGAAGGCCTTGAGTTCAAGCCCCAGTACCACAAAAAAAAAAAAAAAAGGAATGGAGTGTTTTCCACAGAAAAAACCTGCAGTGTGAAAATTCTCAATTTCTCCACTTATAGGCTTCTCTGCAGCATGATGTACCACCTAGACAGTAGTTTTGCCCAGGACTCAGGCTTTCTTATTATTTTTCTTGTTACTAGTAAGAAACCAGCGATACTTCAGTGTTTAAGGATTCATTAAAATGGGTTTCCCACTAGATTATAGAGAAATGGTCCCCTTCTACCTAGGACTTTTCCCTAACTGCACTCTTTATGTTCAATGGTCTTTTCTCTGGCTTTTCTTACCTACCTTGCTTTTCTCATTGCTTGTCTGAGAAACTGTAACATATACTGTTCTCTGAATAAGCCTAGAATCTTCTTATGTTCTTGACTTTGCCAGAATCCCCTCTTGCCTATTCCCCTTTCCTTGTACTCACCTTATCTACATTTCTTGAGCCCACCTGGACTTGGGATTCCAGCTCAGAAAATGTCTACCAACCTGTTCTTATTCCCATCTTCCCAGCCCCGTGTCAAACGTCTTTTCATAACCTAATGACTTTTCCTTACTTTCATTGGCTTCTGTTCTTGTAAGCTCCTTAAGAATAGGGTTTAGTAAGACTCACACAACTTTATAGTCTCAATTGGTGCTATACACAAAATCATGTCTAATAAATGCATATTGTTTGAAAGAATGGTTTTAATATTTTTCCAAGATTTTTCTAATACCTTTTTCTTTTTTTTGGTGGTGCTGAGTTTGAACTTAGGGCCTTGCACTTTTTAGGCAGGTGTTCTATCACTTGAGTCACGCCTCCAGTCTTTTTTTTTTCTCTAGATATTTTTCTGGTAGTGTGTTTTTGCCTGGGGCTGCCCTCAGACTACAATCCTCCTACCTATGGCCTCCCACATAACTGGGACCACAGATGCACACCACCATAGGGTCTTATTAACATTTTTCCAGGGCTGGTGATCCTCCTGATTTCTGCCTCTCAAGTAGCTGGAATTATAGGCATGAACTGCTGCACCTTGTTCTCACAACTTTTTGAACTCTTCCCAAAGAAATATGGAAATAAATGATTTTTACCTTGTTCTGTTTTTAGGCACCGAACATTTGAAAGGAGAGGAGATGATCTGTATACAAATGTGACAATCTCACTAGTTGAGTCTCTGATTGGCTTTGAGATGGATATTACTCACTTGGATGGTCACAAGGTAAACAAACCAATTTTCCTGCTCTTTAAAGCCTTCATATGGGTGGTGTTAGGTTATTTTAGCCACTTCAATCATTTAGAATCCCATGGACTCCTTTCTCAATCTCATTCTGTCTTCTTATTCTGCTGCTGAACGTCCAGCAATAACACCACAGACATTTTAGCTACTCAGAGTTAATTGCACAATCTTTGATCTGACAGTCTTGTTCTTATAGTTTTTAACCTTTTCTTTGACTCTCATCCTAATAATGCTTCCTTTAGCCTTCATCTTTTGTTCTTTGCTGAGCTGTGCCATTAGCTTTGTGCACCAATGCTTACTAAAAGTTAGGGAATATACTTCAGATGTGCCAGTCCTCCAATCTTTTCTCTTACGTTTTCCAGGTACATATTTCCCGGGATAAGATCACTAGGCCAGGAGCCAAGCTATGGAAGAAAGGGGAAGGGCTCCCCAGCTTCGACAACAATAACATTAAGGGCTCTTTGATAATCACTTTTGATGTGGATTTTCCAAAAGAACAGTTAACAGAGGAAGCAAGAGAAGGTATGGGGAGGGAGGAAGGGATGGACTGAGAGAGAGAGAGAGAGATTGTGTGTGAAAGCAGAGTGGCAATGAAAACAAAATCCTCCAGTGACATGAGATATCATCCACTAACAACAGTGGAACACAGTGTTAGGAATGAACTTGTCTTTCTCTGTGAAGACTATGATAATTAAAAAAAAAAATCCTGCTGTCACTGTGACCGTAAAAGGCTGTGTGATCTTGACTTTGAAACCTAGGGAGTAATAGAAGTACGGAAGTGAGACAGAACCACTTAGAATGAATGAGCTGGACCAAATTGTAAAAGGGAAGATGGGGAAGATGAAATGTACAGTCAGAGGATTAGAGGCTCACAGGTGGTATCTGTGATGGCTGGTTGAAAAGAAGGCCTGGTAAGAGAAAGAAGAGTGATGAAAGAGGTTAAAGATGGACAAAGAAGAAGGAATGAAATTCTTAGCTAAGAAGTTTTCTTTCCCTTTGATTACCTCTTCTCGGGTCTAAGTGCTTAGGGTTTTGTGGCATATGTGTATGGGATGTGGGCCTGAGACAAGTGATCATCTTGGATACACATACCACGTGTGATGAAGTTGGAGATTGGCAGTTCTTATTTATTTCAGATAATGTGGCTGTCATAAGGCCTTTTGTGAGCCTCTACATGAAACATGCTCTTTAAAACTTCGAGGGAAGTTATATTTTTGTTAATGTAGTCATTTGTTCATTCTTTCAGGCATCAAACAGCTACTGAAACAAGGATCAGTGCAGAAGGTATACAATGGACTGCAAGGATATTAAGAGTGAATAAAATTGGACTTTGTTGAAAATAAGTGAATCAGCGATATTTATTATCTGCAGGGGTTTTTATGTGTTTTTGTTTTTTATTTTCAATATGCAAGTTTGGCTTAATTTTTTTTGTAATGATTGTCATTACATGAGTAAGAAGGCTTAAGAATTTGTTCATTTGCATTCAGACAAGAGTGACCAGCAAAAGGTTAACTAATACCTCTCCCTTTGGGGATATAATGTCTGGTGCTGCCTGCTGCCTGAGTTTCAAGAATTAAAGCTGCAAGAGGACTCCAGGAGCAAAAGAAACATTACAGACGGTTGGAGATAATTGTTAGCTATTCCACTAAATGCCAACTGGAGAAGTCTGTTTTTAAATACATCTTTTGTTTTGTTTTTTCCTTGACTCCTGTTTCTTTCCTCCTGTGAGCTGGTTAGTTGGGTTGTCCTTCTCCCATTAAGCAAGATGGATGCACAAGCATGCAAAGGAATGAGTAGATCCAGTCCCCAAGCCCCATTAAACACAACTGGTGTCTTCTAGCAAAGCACTTGACAACTGAATAGATTAGAGATTGGAATACATGGATTAAGATTACACAAAATCTAATTGTCCTTGAGAAAAAAAACTATTTTCTCATTTTATTTGGGAGCAATAAAATCTGAAGTGGATACTTTGCCATTTAGAAAGCACTTTGCATGTATATAATCTCAGTTGACCTTGTGATTAGAAAGCCTTTGATTTATTTTAGGAACTAGAATTACCACTGACTTTAGAAAATGAATTGAAAAAGTAGAATTACAAACTACATTTGCTTTTTCCAATGGCACCTGATTCAGATGGTATGTGATAAGAATACATTTGACTATTGAACCTCCTTCACCTTTTTACATTATACAGTGACATCACAACTCTGCTTTTGATGTACTTTGAACTTGCCTTGGCTAGTGGATGTTCCAATGCTGTTGAACAATTGCTATTGAAATGTGTATGGAATTGCCTTCACATCATAAGTGTAGTTCTACAGTAGCCATGCCTTTGTCTACATAGTAGCCAATGCTACCATTTGAAAGTATCTTAGGAATCAAATGAAACCACATAAATACTTAAATGGAAGTTTAGTGGACTTTTTGCACATTATTCATTACATATTGAATTGCCCGTAGTTAGTTGAGCATCTCTTAGAAATGATCATCAACATTTCCCTCCCATGTCTTAACCCATTTTTCCAAGGTGTATGCAAGAGTCAGTCAAGATACTAAGAGCTAGAGTTACTACTGCAGGAGAAAGACCCCATTGAGGTAATGCTTTCCTATGAAGATGTTCATGGGGCCTTGTCATTCCGTCTTAGCCGGGGTCTAGACTTCCATGATTTAAGGAGTTAAAAAAAGAAGATCCTTTCATAAAACTGAGCTTCAGTTTTTCTTAAGTACATTAAGCACATTGTATTTGGAAATACTTATATAAATTTCCATAAACCTTATAATATGCCATAGTGACTGTTGGTACTGGGAATAATGGGAGGATTGTAATATCAGACTTAAAGCCCATGATTTTTGCACAATCCTACAATTGCCTTTCCAAAAGTTGGAGCTCTCCAAAGGTGGAGAGTGGTCCCTGAGGCAGCAAGCTCCTCCCAAGTAGACAAGATAATTCATATGTCCAGGAGTGTGGCAAAGGAGGTTTCTAGGTCTAGGAGATTGTAGTGGTGAACATGGTAATTCCCCTCAAGCCAGAAACTTGTTCTCTTACTTGTGTAAATATTTTTGATGCTTACTATGAGCTGTGTTCTGTTCCAAGTGCTTTATATGGATAAGCACCTTTTATGGATGAGAGATTCTTACTACACCCAATTTATGGATGAGGAAATTGAGTTACATCCCACAGTATACAAGTGGGATCAGAATTTGAATACAGACAGCCTGTTTTAGAGAATGTACTCAAATGAATTCATAAGTAGAAAAGGATGCTTGGTACAGATGGTGGAAGAACAAGCAACAGAGTCCTCAGAACTGCCAGAAAAAAGTCATTCCAGGAACTATGTAATGAGGTAGAAAGGATGCTTGGTCTGGCATCAGACGTAATCTCTGACACTAGGGAAGTCAGTTAATCTCTCTGAACCTCAGTCTTCTCATCTGGAAAATAAAGGTAATGAAGGGCATTTTTTTTTGGAGTGGTGGGACTGGGGTGTGACCTCAGGCATTCTACTGCTTCAGCCACACCTCCAGTCAAACAGTGATATTTTTGAAATTGAGTTTTTGTGCATTTTAACATCTATTTTTGCTATTCAGATACTTCATTTACTCACTTATGTTTACTCCTTCTCAGCTGTACTCACTGGTTAGTTTTTTTTTTTTTATGTAGGAAATTGAGGACTTTCAAATAAATTTTTTTATTTTATCATTTTTACATTTACTCACATTTGTATACATTTTTTTCTTTTATTATTCATATGTGCATACAAGGCTTGGGTCATTTCTCCCCCCCTGCCCCCACACCCTCACTTACCACCCACTCCGCCCCCTCAATCTCGCCCCCACCCTCTCAATACCCAGCAGAAACTATTTTGCCCTTATTTCTAATTTTGTTGTAGAGAGAGTATAAGCAATAATAGGAAGGAACAAGGGTTTTTGCTGGTTGAGATAAGGATAGCTATACAGGGTATTAACTCACATTGATTTCCTGTGCGTGGGTGTTACCTTCTAGGTTAATTCTTTTTGATCTAACCTTTTCTCTAGTTCCTGGTCCCCTTTCCTATTGGCCTCAGTTGCTTTTAAGGTATCTGCTTTAGTTTCTCTGCTTTAAGGGCAACAAATGCTAGCTAGTTTTTTAGGTGTCTTACCTATCCTCACTCCTCCCTTGTGTGCTCTCGCTTTTATAATGTGCTCAAAGTCCAACCCCATTGTTGTGTTTGCCCTTGATCTAATGTCCACATATGAGGGAGAACATACAATTTTTGGTCTTTTGGGCCAGGCTAACCTCACTCAGAATGATGTTCTCCAATTCCATCCATTTACCAGCGAATGATAACATTTCGTTCTTCTTCATGGCTGCATAAAATTCCATTGTGTATACATACCACATTTTCTTAATCCATTCATCAGTAGTGGGGCATCTTGGCTGTTTCCATAACTTGGCTATTGTGAATAGTGCTGCAATAAACATGGGTGTGCAGGTGCCTCTGGAGTAACCTGTGTCACAGTCTTTTGGGTATATCCCCAAGAGTGGTATTGCTGGATCAAATGGTAGATCGATGTCTAGCTTTTTAAGTAGCCTCCAAATTTTTTTCCAGAGTGGTTGTACTAGTTTACATTCCCACCAGCAGTGTAAGAGGGTTCCTTTTTCCCCGCATCCTCGCCAACACCTGTTGTTCGTGGTGTTGCTGATGATGGCTATTCTAACAGGGGTGAGGTGGAATCTTAGCATGGTTTTAATTTGCATTTCCTTTATTGCTAGAGATGGTGAGCATTTTTTCATGTTTTCTTATGGCCATTTGAATTTCTTCTTTTGAGAAAGTTCTGTTTAGTTCACGTGCCCATTTCTTTATTGGTTCATTAGTTTTGGGAGAATTTAGTTTTTTAAGTTCCCTATATATTCTGGTTATCAGTCCTTTGTCTGATGTATAGCTGGCAAATATTTTCTCCCACTCTGTGGGTGTTCTCTTCAGTTTAGAGACCATTTCTTTTGATGAACAGAAGCTTTTTAGTTTTATGAGGTCCCATTTATCTATGCTATCTCTTAGTTGCTGTGCTGCTGGGGTTTTGTTGAGAAAGTTACCTATACCTACTAATTCCAGAGTATTTCCTACTCTTTCCTGTATCAACTTAAGTTTGTGGTCTGATATTAAGATCCTTGATCCATTTTGAGTTAATCTTGGTATAGGGTGATATACATGGATCTAGTTTCAGTGTTTTGCAGACTGCTAACCAATTTTCCCAGCAGTTTTTGTTGAAGAGGCTCCTATTTCTCCATCGTGTATTTTTAGCTCCTTTGTCAAAGACAAGTTGGTTATAGTTGTGTGGCTTCATATCTGTCCTCTATTCTGTTCCACTGGTCTTCATGTCTGTTTTTGTGCCAGTACCATGCTGTTTTTATTGTTATTGCTTTGTAATATAGTTTGAAGTCAGGTATTGTGATACCTCCTGCATTGTTCTTTTGACTGAGTATTGCCTTGGCTATTCGTGGCCTCTGTGTTTCCATATAAATTTCACGGTAGATTTTTCGATCTCTTTAATGAATGTCATTGGAATTTTGATGGGAATTGCATTAAACATGTAGATTACTTTGGGAGTATCGACATTTTTACTATGTTGATTCTACCAATCCATGAGCATGGGAGATCTCTCCACTTTCTATAGTCTTCCTCAATCTCTTTCTTCAGAAGTGTATAGTTTTCCTTGTAGAGGTCTTTCACATCTTTTGTTAGGTTTACACCTAGGTATTTGATTTTTTTGAGGCTATTGTAAATGGAATTTTTTCATACATTCTTTTTCAGTTTGCTCATTATTAGTGTATAGAAATGCTAATGATTTTTCTATGTTGATTTTATATCCTGCTACCTTGCTATAGCTATTGATGATGTCTAGAAGCTTCTGAGTAGAGTTTTTTGGGTCTTTAAGGTATAGGATCATGTCGTCTGCAAATAGGGATATTTTGACAGTTTCTTTACCTATTTGTATTCCTTTTATTCCTTCTTCTTGCCTAATTGCTCTGGCTAGGAATTCCAGTACTATGTTGAATAGGAGTGGAGATAGTGGGCATCCTTGTCTGGTTCCTGATTTTAGAGGGAATGGTTTCAGTTTTTCTCCGTTAAGTATAATGCTGGCTGTAGGTTTGTCATATATAGCTTTTATAATGTTGAGGAACTTTCCTTCTATTCCTAGTTTTCTTAGAGCTTTTATCATGAAATGGTGTTGGATCTTATCAAAGGCTTTTTCTGCATCTATTGAGATGATCAAGTGGTTTTTGTCTTTGCTTCTGTTAATGTGGTTTATTACGTTTATTGATTTTCGTATGTTGAACCACCCCTGCATCCCTGGGATGAAGCCTACTTGGTCGTGGTGAATAATCTTTTTGATGTGTTGTTGAATTCGGTTTGCCATTATTTTGTTGAGGATTTTTGCATCAATGTTCATTAAGGAGATTGGCCTATAGTTCTCCTTTTTGGAGGTGTCTTTGCCTGGTTTTGGGATAAGTGTAATACTGGCTTCATAAAATGTGTTTGGCAGTTTTCCTTCCCTTTCTATTTCGTGGAACAGTTTAAGGAGGGTTGGTATCAGTTCTTCTTTAAAGGTCTGATAGAATTCAGCAGAGAATCCATCAGGTCCTGGACTTTTCTTTTTGGGGAGACTCTTGATTGCTGCTTCAATTTCATTTTGTGTTATAGATCTATTCAGGTGATTAATTTC